AAAAGGAAAAGAGTAGAAGAGAGAGAAAGAGAAAGAGAGGAAGGGGAGAGGAAGAATAAAAGAGAGGAGAGGAAAGAGAGAGGAGGGAAAAGAGAGAAAGAAAAGTGTAGGAGAAATGATAAGGCGAACACCGAGATAGACAGACAAGAAGAATGCGAGGGAACACAGAGCTGAGAGAGAGAGAGAGAGAGAGAGAGAGAGAGAGAGAGAGAGAGACAGACAGACAGACAGACAGACAGACAGACAGACAGACAGACAGACAGACAGACAGAGACAGACAGACTGAATGGGTGCAGCATTCGAACGAGCACAGAAAAAAAAGTGTTTACAGGAGACCAGAGGCGGCCCCCCACATATAGGGTGAGGGCAAAACGTGAAAAAAGCTTTGAGGAGACTCCACTATCGCTCTCTGTCTCTATCTCTCTCTCTCTCTGTAAGTTATCCCGGATTAAGCGATGCGCGTTTCCCCTTCAATCCCTCCTAGAAGGCTCTCAAGTCAACTGGCGCAGAAAGACTGCCACAGAAAGGGGATAGGGTGCGTCGCTGGACTGACGAGGGGAAGCCGTCCTTCCACGTGGCGGCAACTTGCGCCGCAAGGGTAGAGATCGCTCGCGCAGCAGTGAGTCTCTCTTCCCTGACGGAGAGCTCCAGCTGAAGGCGCAGCTTATCCACGATGAAGGCCATGTATCGTGGAATTCCAAATGCGTCCGAAGCAGCAACTTCCGTCCATAGGTCCCTATACACCGCGGCTACAGCCTCGCTGCTGCTGTGGCGGAAGCAAAAGGCGGATGCTGCAACGTGCCCCCGCAGTTCTGCGTTGAACAGCTCACTGGCTCGCCTGAAGCATCGCAGGCAGCAGTTCGAACATCGCGACTCCTGTGAAAAAAGCGTCGGGTGAGAATGGGGCTCTAACTATGTACCCGGAGAAGAGAGCCGCTGCTGCTTTGCGGCGTCTGGATCCTCGGGGAAAAGAAGCGGAGGGGAGCAAAAAGGGGCATGCAAGTTGAACGGGGAAGAGTCTAGGCAGCAGTAGAGAAGCTCCGTCTTGTTCTCCGCAGGCTGCGCAGGGAGGACGGCGAAGGCGTGTGCCAAAGATGTAGGGAGAGAGATGCAGGATGCAGATAGAGTGGCTGGACCTGGAAACGTGGAGGAGGGCGTTGCCAACGCTGAGCTGCGTTTCCACTCTCTCATAGACTTCGAGACAGTCGGGGGAGGGCAGTTGCAGCAACTGCTTCTCTAGCACCTGAAGTCACAGGCAGTCAGCAGGGGGGGCAGGCACCACTGAAGGAGGCCAGGGAAGCGGCAGAGAAGAGAAGCTAGACAAGCGCATCAGAAGAGCCTCCTTAGAGCGACGGTCGTGTGGTGGGGGTGTTGAGGAGCGTGGCGAGGGCAAGAGCTTTGCCTTGCCGCGGTGGAAGCCAGTGGAAAGGGCAGCACAGCTCAGCGCCGAGAATGCAAATGCAGAAATGCAAACACACGTGCAGGGTGACAAAGAGTTGGCGCAGCCTCGCAAAAAGAGTCCATAGAGTTTACGAAGGCTGAGACACAGTCCCCAGGCGTCTAAAGCCTATATGTGGGGGGGAGAGGATGTCAGTTGCGCAAGGTTGAAGTAGGGGCGAAGCAGCTCGTCGCCACGTTTAGACAACCCATTGAACATCCATTGAGCACACCAAGACATGCCTCGCACGCACCTCCTGCATGGCCTTCGAATTGGCAAACTTGCAAACAACCGCGAAGGCTTCAATGGCTGCCCCCCTAACGGTGGGGGAGGGGTCTAGCAGACTCCGTGCGAGAGCCTTTAGGAGGCGCTTAGCGTGGACAGACACCTCAGGAATCTTGGCTCCCCACTCGTCGAATAGCGACGACACGAAGAAACAAACGCCGCATCGACTCGCCACGCCGAGGCTTCCCCGCAGCTTTTGTACCAAAGGCGGTATCAGCGATCCCACAGCACTCAGATCCATTTGGCGTGCCTGAGGAGAAAGGCACACCCTCCAGGAGCAGCAGCAGCAGTTTCCACAGCGATGCAGCACCAGACGCATGGGGAAACAAGCAGCAGCGCGAGGCAGACGCAGCAGCATTCCAGCAAAACGGCGGAAGCTGGCGTGCCGCTTCCAAGCATGCAGCGGGAGCTCCTTCAGCAGCAAAAGCGGGAGATGAGACACCTGGACGTCAGCCGCGAACAGGGAGAGAAAGGCTCTGAAGGGGGATTTGGCCATTCGAAAAAAAAGCGATTTCACAGCAGGCAGCAACGCACAATGTCTTTGAGGATCTTTGCTGCCCTGCCCGTCTGAGAGAGTGACACCCTCGTCCTTTCAAAATCCTTCTGCGAGACGCCGTGAAGTCGCTCGGCGTGAAATTGGTGGAAGGCGAAGGCACGAGGTTCAAAAGCTCCCAGTCCCTCGATAAGGAAGACTACCAACGGCACCAACCAAGCCTCCGTATCGTGAGTAGAGGGGGTGTCATCAGCGGCAGTCTCACTGCCTCCTTTCTTCTCCGTGCAGCTGCCATCATCTCCGGGAGTAAGTGTTGCAGAGGAATGACGCTTAGAACGCCTGCGCCTTTCTGCCGCGAAACAGTTGCCCACGCACTCCCCCAAGACATCCAGACAAAGGATGCGGATCTGCAGCGGTGAGAGCAGCAGAAGCAGCAGCAGCACCATGCAAAACGAGAGGTAACACACAGATTCTTCAAAGTTTCCGCGCGCACAGCACGGTGCACCCCGCTCAACGCCATCTGCTGCTCAGGCTGTTTCTCTCTCTTTCTCTCTCTATTGTTTGTCTGTGTCTCTCTCTGTCTCTCTGTCTGTTTGTCTCTCTGTCTGTTTGTCTCTCTGTCTGCTTGTCTCTCTGTCTGCTTGTCTCTCTGTCTGTTTGTCTCTCTGTCTGTTTGGCTGTCTACTCAACGCCCCCGCGCAGAACATCCGCCTCCGCGCTGCCCTCCCCTTGAGTGCATGCATGCATGCGTAAAAACACGGTTGGAGAACTGCTGCGATGCAGCATGAACGTGGCAACACGGCATGCACATTCCCCACGACAAAGGCCGTCTCAGGAGCCATGGAGGATCGCTCAAAATGGGAAAAATGGATGACCAATTGTCTGGCTTGCAGCGTGCTGTCTGTCTGCCCCCTTTGGATACGCATGCATGTGCAGCAGGTTCCGAAAGAGGCGAGCTGCGCTTACCTCTTTGTTGCCGCTGTGTGCTTCGCAGACTTTCTGCAGCAAGTTCACCGAAGCCACCAGGGGGCGACCCTCGCAGCAAAGCTCCCCAGTGAGAGCTCTAAGAGTTCTTCCAAGGAGCCTTGCTGCTGCGCGCACTTCGTCTACGATATCGTCGAGACAGCGGGCAGCAGACAACCACAAGTCTTCGAAAAAAGGCTTTATTTCTGTCCAGTCGTGCCCTGCGCAACGGTCGAACGCAAACACGCCTCCACAGACTGACACACACTCACAAGCAGCCACACAGCCAACCCACCCGCACATGCCAAGCACTACCACCCACAGCAGATCTACATCCTCCTGAAGCCGCTAAGAGCCCTCTCGGCTAACAGCACTGAAAATATTTCGCTCGCCGATGCATGCACGCGCCGCTGCTGCATGCGATGGCACCAAAGCTTGCGGAGAAAAGAGGCACCAGCAGCAGCGGTATTAGCAGCAGCAAAAGCAAAAGCAGCAGCAGTAGCGCTATTAGCAGCAGCAAAAGCAAAAGCAGCAGCAGTAGCGGTATCAGCAGCAGCAGTAGCGGTACCTGCAGCAGCAAAAGCAGCAGAAGCAAAAGCAACAGCAGTAGTACTAGCAGCACCAAAAGCAGAAGCAGCAGCAGCAGTATTAGCAGCAGCAAAAGAAAAAGCAGCAGCAGAAGCAGCAGCAAAAGCAGAAACAGCAGCAAAAGCACTACCAGGGGGCAAGAAGGCAAGTTTTTCTTCGAGGCAAGCTCACCTTTCAGAATGTCTGAACCTGCTTTGCATGCAGCTTCTCGGAGCAGCTGGTTGGGGCCCTGCAGACACCTGACAATCTGTCTCACGACCAGCTGCCATGGAGACTGCTGATTCTGCTCACGCTGCTGCCTCTGCTGCAGTGCCAACATGAAGGGGTTGCGGGGAGCACCGATAGCTGTGAGCTCTGCAACGGAGGAGATGCCATACACTGCCTGCACACATGGATTCCAGACAATTACCCGCACAGACGCATCGTGAGTCACCTCCGTCGCAAGCAAATCTGCGAAAAAAGACCGTTTGAACGTTGGAATTTTTTCCAGGGCGAACACAAAGGCTCCACAAAGAGCTTCCGCGATTCTACGCCTCTCTGTTGTGAGACGCAGACTTTCCCCCTTCCTCTCTCTCTCTTTATACGTGTGGAGTATCGATCTCAGCCTCCATGTTGCCGCTGCCCCTGTGTGTGTTTCCACGAGCTGCACAACCCGACGTTTTCCCCCTGCGCAGTCACTTCCGTGCTGCTGCTTCTGTTTTCACGGACGTGTCTCCCAAGGATCCGTCTCAAACGCATGCCTGCCCCCTTTTCGCCTCGCCTCCCTGCTGCGGCATGCGAAGTGTGACGCTCACCTGCGAAAGCATCTCGACAGACTCCCTGAGAGGCACCGTGGAATGCCAGAAGTATACGGAAAAGGAAAACAGCAGAGAGAGGGGGCAGCTGAAGCGCAAAGCAGACACCTGGCCGTCCACAGCCAACGCGTCAAGCTCTTCTTCTTGTTCTGCTGCTCCTCTTCCTCCTCTTCCTCCTCGCGCTTCCCCTGCGTCTTGTCTTTGCTGAGGGGCCAGTACTGCAGCTGCCTCGGGAGGTTCTGCGGCTGATTCTGCGTCTGCCAGCCTACCACTGCTGCTGTACGTGCGGAGCAGCGGCTGTCGGAGTTGCTGGAGACAGAAGGCTGGAACGGAGACATCGCATGCAGCAACGCAGAGAAAATCCACGAAAAGAGGCGGCAAGGGCTGATCTAGCAACGCATACACCGCAGCAGCATGGCCACCATCGCGTGCTGCCTGCAGAAGCTGCCGCAGCAACTTGATGCGAGCAGCACCAGCATCAGCGTCGTTCAGCTCTGCTGCTCCTGTCCTCGAAGGCTGCCGCTCAGCTCCTGAGACGTCGCCTCCGCTGCTGTTTTTCTCCCTCTGCTGCTGTTTCTGCTGATGGTGCACTGAGAAGCCTTGCATCTTGAGAGCCTGCTCGGTAGGGCTCACAGAAATTCGAGAACCAACGTAGACAGACAACTCGCGCAACAGCATATCCTTCAAGCTGGCAGTTCTCTCCTCGCAACGAGTGGCTCCTGTTGCAGGGACTGCTGGCGCTGCTGTCGCTGTTTCCGCCAAGATCCTTGCCTGTGCTGCTGCTGCCTGGGGTGCTGCTGCTGCCTGGGCTGCTGCTGCGGCTGCTGCTGCTGCATCCTCGGAGGCGAGACACGCAGCCACGAGACAGCGGCTCAAGCCCCTCCACGCGCACTGCCCGACAAACACATCGGCATCTCCTACTCTGGAGAGGAAAATCCGCTGGAGCAGCAAGAGCAAAGCAGCAACTTCCGGCAGGTGCTTCGCATGCAGCAGCAGCGCGGAGAGCCAGCAGACAGCCGAACTAGACACACGAGGCCATAGTGAAGCCTTCAGTCGAGGCGAAGAAAACACTGCGTGTGCCAACTGCGTTTCTACTCCGCTTTTCTCTGCAGCAACGGCTGCTGCAGATTCCACAGCGGCCGAAGCCGCTGCTGCATCTTCCTCCCTCGGTGCAGCCTTTTTACCCTCTGAAGAATCAGCCAGCTGTTGCAACTGCGCCAGCTGCAAGACCAGCAGTAAGACTTGATTTGTCTCGCTGGCGAGGACTGCCTCTTCTCTCGCGTCTGCGGAAGCGGCTGCAGCAGAGCGCATGCGATGCAGTTCGAGCACCAGCCTCACGACAGCAAGAGCCGCTGCAGAGCGAAGCGAAGGCGAAACAAGAGACGCTGTCTCCATAAGGGCCGCTACAACACGGCGGTACTGCTGGCTCCACACTGCAGCCTCGCTGCTGCCAAGCCGGCAAGCGTTGATTGCACACAGGCTCCCTAGAAAAGCGACTGTCTGCAGGGAAGCGTGCAGCACCAGCAGACCAGTCCGCTGAGAGGTGTCTGTACAGGATCCACAGCAGCGCACAGCGTCCAGAGCACACAGATGGGGAGCAGCAGCAGCAGCAGCAGCACTGTGCAATGGCAAAAGCAGCCACCTTGCGCTTCAAAACAAGACTAGCAGCCACAAAGGGCAGAAACACCCCCGCAAGTGCTCGACAGCAGCAGACGCACTTGCTGCAGGCAGCAGAAGCTCCGTGTCTGCAGCGGCACAGTGGCGCAGACCAGCCTTCGAGATGGCGATTAGAAGCGAAAGCAAAGAATCCACTGAGGCGCTGTCTTTGTTCTGCTCCTGCGACGAGGGTTGCTGCTGCTGCCTTGGGGGTAGCGATTGAAGCGCAGCGAGCACTGCAGGAAAGTAGAACCTCAGAGCTTGTGCCAGCGCCTCCAGGCTGCACAGCAACATCGCGTCAGTCCATGACTGGGCATACACAGCGAAAGCAGAGACAGCCGTTGCCTGTGGCTGCTCGCCTAGGGGAGGCTGCGCAGCGGCAGCTTGCGCTGCTGCTGCAGCGTCGTCATCGCGGCAGTACGCAGCAGTCCACAGGTGAAAGTGCTGCAGCACGACAGAGACTGCCTGCGAAGCGACGCTGTTCTCTGGAGCCTCGCTGCTGCCGACAGCGCAGCTGCTCTTTTCCCTCGCTTCCGAAAGCGCGCCTCCCACAACCACGAGACTGCCAGCGAGCTCTCCCGGCAAAGGCAGTCGCTGTCTTTGCGTCTGCGTTTGCTGTTTTTCTTGCTCACGCACAGCCAGTCCTGTGTGCTGCTGCACGGCATCCTTCAGATGCAGGAGGAGAGGGTCGGAAGGGAGGCTTCCTCGCTCTCCCAGAGAACAGCAGCACTGCAGGCTTGCTGCAAAGGCTGCCTCCTGCTGCAGCAGCTGTTGCACATCCACGAGCCTCCCCGAAAGAAAAGGCAGAAAGGCAGCAAGAAGCCTCTCGTGATCCGACTCTTGGGGGGTACGCTGATGCACTGAAGAGGCGAACATCCGCAACAAATCGGCTGCAGCTCTTCGCGCGTCTTCTCGGGTGCACTGCACCGCCTTGAGGGCCCTTCCCTGCTTCTTCTTCTTCGCTGCTGCCGCTTTCTCCGCAGCAGCTGCAACTGAGCCAGCCGCCAGAGGCGCAAAGAGCACTGAAGAGAGCAGCAGGGGCACCTGCACAGACAGCAGCGACGGCAGTGCCGAGACTCCCCCATCGCAGCGGCCGTTCTGCCGCTGCTGTAGCTGCTTTTCCCACTTCAGCAGTCCCTTCCAGCATCGGCAGAAGGCGCAGCGCATGGCGTCAGTTAGCGTCTGGTCCGCTGGTCTTGCTGCCAGCAGTGGAAAGAGAAGAGCTGAGAGCAAACGCATGTCTTCTCCACGAACGTCGAAGCAACTTGCCGTTGCAGCAAGCGCAGGAGCCGTGCCCTCCGCCAGGCGCAGCTTCTTCAACGGCGAATCTGGGTCAGACGATGCTGCTGCTGCATCGAGTGTAGCTGCAGCTCCTGCAGCTCCTGCTGCTGCCTCTTCTTCTGGCTGCGTCCGCTGCAGCTGCCTTCCGGCACGAAGGCTTCTCCCCAGGTGCAGCTCGGCGTGCAGCAAGTCCGATAGACGTTCCACCAGAGCCAGTCGCACCTCAGCCGCCGATTCTAGAGACGCGTTCGTAGCGGCAGCGAGCTGCTGCTGCACTTCGTGTGCATCCACGTAGAAGGGAGATATCGCAGGTTTGTGGATCCCATAGGGCGTCACCTCCCCTGGCGTGGCCATGTCTTTCTTGGTGCAAAAGCGAGGCAGCACGAAACTCAGCAGCGCAGAAAAAGAGGGGGTCCCCTGCCGCTCGCATTGCTGCAGCAGATCTGCGGCTACCTCGGCTGCATTTGCCTCTTTTGATGCTCCGCTACTGCTGCTGTTGATCCTGCTCTGGTTGATGCACAAAAGGCAGTAGAAGCTGCGGCGGAGAGGACAGCGCAAGAATGCAAAGGAGACAGGAAGCTCTGACAAGCAAGGGGAAGGGGGGCATGCATGCAGCCTGTGTCTCAGGTGCTGCATCGCCGGAGACGCCTGCTTACCTGTTGGCGGGGTGGAAGGGGGGAAAAGCTTTGGAGGCTAGCCGCAACGCTTCCTGGAGCATCAGCTGTTGAGGTGCTAGAGCCGAGAGGTCTGCGCATGCGCCTCCGTTCGACTCCTCTGCAGCCGCGAACGGGGGGGAAGAAGAGGCGTCCTTCTCGCTTCTGTCTGCTGTCGGCGATACTGGAGGAGATGCGCCAGTAGGGGGGTTCAGCCAGAGAGCGACGGTCCAGTCGAGAAGCGCAACAAGCTGCCCCTCAAGACGGTCGTGGTGCTGCTGCAGCTCTCCAATCAGCAAGTCCTCTGGTTGCTTTCCCTGTAGCTGGAAAATAGCCTCTCTCAGCGTTTCTAGCCGCATCGCTAGCCAATCTCCACAGCTGCGCAGCGCCTGAAGTGCGGAGGGAGTGGTGGGAACGTCCACTGCAGCACTGAGTGAAAGTGCAGCAGAAGCTGCCCACCGACTTTGCGGCTGCGCCTTGGTCGCTTTTTGCTGCGCATCGGCTTCAACAGCGCGCGGCACCAGCAGCAGCAGCTGCTGCAGCAGCTGCAGCATGGTTTCCGTCAGCGGTGCAGCAGCCGAGTTTCCCGAGCGCGCTTCGTCTTCTCCGCCTGGCACGAGAGAGCAGCCGAGACGACAGCCGCTGCTACCAAGCGGCGAGAAAGGACAGACGCGGCAAGCCGTGGAAATCGCCTCCAGGAGAGGAGGCAACAGCTGACGCGTCGCAGGCTGCAGCAGGATATCGGCTGCACTGCGGGGACGCATGTGGGGAGGCAGAATCTCCTGGCTCAGCTTGAAGACAAGGTCAGGGGAGACTACAGAATCCGCAGCGAACACTGCGCCATACAAGCGAATCATCCGCTCAAGCAGCAGCTCGCCGTCGGAGACGACGAGACTGCCGTCTGCAGCAACTCCAGCCGGCTGGAGGCAGCATTCTGCGAAGATATCACTGGCCGATGGCGCCGCTACCAACAGCAGCTGCTCGACAGACTGCGAAAGGAAGTTGAGCACCAACCCCCCAGCCTCCGCTACTGTGGAGCACAGCAAGCGCGAGCGTCGCTGCTGCCGTCCTCCATCGTTCGCGGCTTCCGTGGTGACGTCAGCAGCTGCTCCTGCATGCACTTCGCAGACGAACCACCGCTGGAGACGCAAGCACCACTGCAGCAGAGAGAGGGAAGCTCTAAAGCGTACAGCTGGCTGAAGACTGCTGACTCCCCACTGCAATGCCAGCTGCAACAAGCCCAGCGCCTCCCACTGTAGCTCCAGCACGGCAAGACAGTGCCGCTGCTCTGCGGCTGCTCTGCATTTCGCAAGCTGCAACAACAGCTTTTCTTGCAGCTTGGCGGGCAGGGGACCCCTGGCTTCTTGCATGCGCCGAGTTGCCGAGCTGAGCAGCAGCAACTGCTGCTGCTGCTGCTGCAGAGGGTGCTGCTGGGGAAGCGGTCTCAGAGACACCAAATCAAACAGCAGCTGCAGCAGCAGCTCGTCGTCTCCATGGCTCTGCATGCACAGTTGACATTGCAGCGCATCCATCCAATTGAGGCGGGTTGGCAGCTGCCTTTGCTGGCGCTGTCTCGCCTCCGCTGCCCGCTTCAAGAGCATCGGCAACACGCTGCAGCATGCCTTAAAGAGGAGATTTCAAGGTTAATAAGTACGGCGACGGCACACAGCGACAAGCTGGAGACAAGGTTCTGAAGGAAAAGAGGCAGTAGCAGTAGCAGCAGTAGCAGCAGCAGCAGTAGCAGCAATAGCACTAGTAGCAGCAGCAGCAGTAGCAGCAATAGCACTAGTAGCAGTAGCAGCAGCAGCAGCAGCAGCAGTAGCAGCAATAGCACTAGTAGCAGTAGCACTAGTAGCAGCAATAGCACTAGTAGCAGCAGCAGCAGCAGCAGTAGCAGCAATAGCACTAGTAGCAGCAATAGCACTAGTAGCAGCAGCAGCAGTAGCAGCAATAGCACTAGTAGCAGCAGTAGCAGCAGCAGCAATAGCACTAGTAGCAGCAGTAGCAGTAGCAGCAATAGCACTAGTAGCAGCAGCAGCAGCAGCAGTAGCAGCAATAGCACTAGTAGCAGCAGCAGCAGCAGCAGTAGCAGCAATAGCACTAGTAGCACTAGTAGCAGTAGCAGCAATAGCACTAGTAGCAGCAGCAGCAGTAGCAGCAATAGCACTAGTAGCAGCAGCAGCAGTAGCAGCAATAGCACTAGTAGCAGCAATAGCACTAGTAGCAGCAATAGCACTAGTAGCAGCAGCAGCAGTAGCAGCAATAGCACTAGTAGCAGCAGCAGCAGTAGCAGCAATAGCACTAGTAGCAGCAGTAGCAGCAATAGCACTAGCAGCAGCAATAGCACTAGTAGCAGCAATAGCACTAGTAGCAGCAGCAGCACTTACCGCAGCAGCGAGGCGAGTCAGCGCAGCATTGCACGGATCCGAAACGGAAGCAAACGGAGCAGAACTGCCAATCAACAGTGGCGCTAGGATTGCTGGAGGAAGACGCAAGTCTTTTTGCAGTTTCTCGAGTACTGATGTTGCTGGAGCACTTAGTTGTACTGCTGTCTCTGGCACCTTGACAGACGATGGAGGATCAGAGACTTCTCCGGCAGAGGCGGAAAGGGCGACGGCTGCAGCTGCTTCAGCAGCTTTCTCGTCTACAATAGGGACCGCCTTCGTCGCTTCTGTCAGCAGCAGCACTGCTCGCGTCTGATAAAGCACTAGCTCCTGTCGGGAGAGCTTGCAGTTCTTCTCCCACAGCTGCAAAGATCCTACAGAGACGCCCTTGGCTCCTGCGCGTGCGGAGGTGGCAGCAGCAGCAGCTGCTGGTGCTGCTGCTGCTGCTGCTGCTGACTCTGTCGAATTCGAAGCGACTTCTGGAAGGCCAAGAATACTCGTAAACCCATACGTAAGAGAAGAGTCAGCCTTGCTTTTGAAAGCCTTCTGTCCACGCTTCTGCTCTAGCTGATGCAGCACATTCCCCCAGTCTCTGCTCCGTACAAGCTGCAGAGCCAACTGCTGAATGGCTGCTTCCTTTTCTTCCTTTTTTGCTGAAGAGGCGGTGGAAGACTCCGTGCCGAGCAGCAGCAGCAACTCACACATCGCCTGCAACACTGCCAAGAAAGCGCCATTTGGCTTGCTGCAGCAGGGCAGCTTGGTGCTGGTGATGCTCGCTGCAGCGGTGCTCGCTGCAAGGATCTCAGTCTTCTGAGAGGCCATGAAGCTCAGGATGCGCAATGCAGATGTGTTGCTGCTGCTGCTGCTACTATTGGGGTGGAGCGTTTGCAGCACCTTAGGGGTTGCCAAGCACTCCAAGAGCAGCAACAGCATCTTGGGGTAGCTGCTGCTGGCTGCCCACTCTTCGTAGTTCTGCAGCAGCAGCAAGCCTAGAGAGGAAAGCTTCTCCACGTCTCTCCGACGTACAGCTACAGAGAGGAACAAGGGAACAATGCCTCTCGCGACAGGAAGGTTGCCAGGGCGAAGGGGAGGCAGTCGCAGCTGCTGCAGCTGCGACTGCAGCTCCTGTTGCTGCTCCCCCGTGCGCTGCTGCCGCTCTGCTGCGGCCAAGAGAGACACAAGCTCCTCCGCAGGGATGGGTACCTCGGCTGCTGCTTCCTTCGATCGACGCAGGCAGCTGTTCACGATGGCAATAACCTGCATGCAAACACGCGCAAGACGGGGTGCACCTGTGTCCACAATTCCTCCCTAGGCTCTCGTCGTCTTGTCATTGCTCCTGAAGAAGCTCGCGCATGCATACATATATTCATGCGCATGTTGTTACAGCAGAACAGGGGCCAGCAGCTTGCCTTGGGTAGAGACAAGGGGGGGCATGTCATCAGCTCAAGGAACGCTCGAGGAAGCAGCTTTGCTACCACTGTAACGAGGGCTTCATCGCTGCACAAGCTGAGACGCAGTGCCGTCTGTTCATACTCCGCATTTTTGGCCTGCAGCAATGCGCTGTCGCTGCTCGCTGTAGCACCAGCAGCCGCGGCTGCTGGTGCTGCAGCCGCTGGCTGTGCGGGATCCATCGATACACGCTCAACAATGCCTCAAGGTAGATTGCACAACATAGGCTAGCAATGGAAACATAGAGCCCAGGGTTTAGGCGTAAGGGGTGGCAGGCTCAGCAGTGGTCCTGTGCGCTGCCCGCAGGTGTATTCGGAGGTTGCACACACACTGCCTGAAAGAGTCATGTGTCTTCTTTCGGCCCCTTATACTATTCAGCCAGCATCTTTTGAAGCGTTTCTTTATGAATGGTTTTCTCTACCTCTTCTCCAGAGAGCGGCAGATCGCCCTGCCGCTTCTGTCGGCGGCTGCCCGCTGCATGCAGATCCATAGGACACCTTCTCCCTTCAGGTTCGTTTTTGCGGACTCATTTCCCTAATTTCAATGCCACTGCCTGGAAATCACGTCTCCAAGGCCAACCAGTCTTAGAAGATCTTACCTTTCTCTTGTATTATCAAGCTTTGCGGCAGAAACTCAGGCCTCTTTTGAGCCCTGGCTGGGCTGGAGAATCATGATGAACTGTCTGTAAAAAAATGCCTAGAGAGCGCTCAGCATTAGCAGAGCCGTATGTGCCAGCTGTTTGTTCTCCTATCAGGGCTACGCCTTCGCTGTGGCATAGCGCCTCAGCTTCAATTCTGTGAAGCGGTTTCTGCAGCAGCAACAGAAGCGACGCCAGCCTAGCCACCTGCACCAGCCTCAGCGCATCGTCAAATATCGCGTGTCAGCGAGCTGTTGCAGCTGTCGGAGCAGCGGCAGCAGTTTCGTACAATCGGCAGTGCAGCGAGTTCAGGGGAAATCAAACCCTGTCCAACCCCCACATGCAGCAGGCAGCGAGGGCGACTAAGCAGCGCCTCGGCTGCAGCATGCAGAACTTTGAGTGCAGCTTCGGGGCTTGCTAACACCAACAACAGCAGCTGCCTATGGCGTTAAAGAAGGACCATACCACCTTGACGCCACTGGATGCTGCAGAAAGCGGCACTCCGCATCTACTGCTGGACACACTATCGCAGCAAAATCAACAGGCCCCACTATGGCATCCACACTCTCACCACAGGGATCGAGACGTGCAGCAAGAGATCCAACAGGAGCGGGAAAAGCATAACTCACACGGAGAACACGTGCAGCAGGAGCAGAACAAACGCGTGAAGCGTCGACATGTGTGTGAGGGGTGTGGGCGACCCTCCTCTGTGTGCTACTGCAGCACTGTCAGTGGACGGGAGCTCAATCTCTCAGACCCTTCTGTCTCTGCCATAGTGGATAGAGTCTTAGTTTTTCTGCATCCCCTGGAGAGGAAAAGGAAAAACGGATCTTTGCAGGTGCTGCAGCGCCTTGTCAAGGGCATAAACATATGGCCTCATCGAAGGCCTGGCTGTTGCCCATTTGCTTCTGAGCAGCAGCAGCAGCAGCAGCCGCACCGAGCGACTCCTCAGGCAGAAGGGTGTCAGAGTAGTGCTGAGGCAGAGAGGGTTGGTGAGACGCTGCAGCACACTGTGGACAGGACTGTTGCATCCGCCACGCTCAAGGAGACTCTGGCAGTCTCATCCGTCGAGGCGGTCTTAGAAAACGGAAATCGACAAGACCAGAAGCAGCAGGGGCAGCAGCAGCAGGAGCAGCACCATCATCTATGTACTCGCGATGGCATCGCCTTGTGCGACACTTCACGGATGGTGCTCTTGTTCCCCACAGAGTCGTCTCTGCCTCTTGGAACGGGCAGTCTTCCCCTCCGCCTGCCCATTACGCTGTTGGCTATTGACGGCACCTGGAAGGAAGCCAACGAGATGCTTCGCGCTGCACCGTGGCTGCAGCAGCTGCCAGCCGTGCATCTCCCGCACAGTCAAGTACTCCCCGTAGAACAGGGAGACCCTTTAGAGGGTGTTTCCTCTTTTGCCACAGCCAGTGGCAGGAGTACCTGCAGCACAACGAGAAGTGAGAGCTGCGAGGAAGCACTTCGTGTGTCAGGGGCATATGGGCTGATTCGAACACCCCCAGCACGCGTTGCGGCAAAAGGAGGTGTCTGTACAGCCGAGGCTATTGCAGAAGCTCTGGCTATCCTGGGCCGCTGGGGTCGCACCACTGCGCCCTCTCTTCTGCAGATAGCCGACACAACTAGACAGACCCTACAGCGCATAGTTGCTCTACAGCAACAAATGCGAAAACAAACCAAGAACTCCGAAAACACACTGGACAGTGCAATTGGTGCGAAGGGAGCAGCAACCCCCCGCCGCCCGTCGTCTTGAATCGGCATTTCCAGAGGGAGGAGACTTTTTGGCGTGCTTTTCAAGCTCTCAAACTTTGCGGGAACCCTTTGCGCCTTGCATCATCAAGAACCAAAATATTTGTTTTTTTCATGGCCCACATGTGACTCCAAACACATGGGGAGAACACCGGCGGCTTAGGCACATCTAAGGAGCGACACGGTTGCAGAAAAGCTTTTTTTTGCGTGTTCAGTGCCACATGCTTTGCACTAGTGCGCATGTTCTGAGTTGCAGTGCAAGGCGCTGAAACTTCCCTGGGTGCAAAAGTTCTGGCACCAATGCAGTGTTAGTAGAGGTTTAAACTGTGCTCTTCTACCCGTGAGGCTTGACACTCCTAGCTCCCCGCCCCTGTTGCCCTTTTCGCTCGCCTAAGATCTTCTTCCTACTCACTGAAACCTACCCCCTCTAGACTGTTCAAAGGCTCTTCTAGTTGGACCTAGGGCACCGTAGAAAGGATGTTCCTCCATCCCGATGCGGCGGGAAACAGCCCTTGTACAAGCAACTCTGAAGGAACATGCGCCTAGTGCCGTCCTCATGTTCCTCTGCCGTCCGATCCCTGCCTTCCGTAGAAATAGTCCTTTAAGGAAAATTAAAGAGTTTTATTCAACCTTTTTTCACCAGAGATGCTTCGACATTCCGTTGTCTCTCAGCATGGACCGGCTTACCAAGGTACCTGCTTTACTGGGAATATATCGAAATTTCCCGAAGCTCTATGGCCAGCCTGTTGCTTGTATAGGCCCCACCGTGTCTGCCACTGACTGCAGCCTGCGACGGAGGAGGGGCCTCCCTGGCCCCGCCAGCCTCCCTCTAGGGTGCCACGCTTACCTCCAGAGTACGTTTGTGCTCTTTAACACAAAAGAAGGAAGCATCCGTTATCGCGGAGACAGGAAAAAGATATTCGCACTCCTGCATCAATCAATTCAAGGCCACTGAGATCTCTCATAGCCTCTCTCCGGCTCGAGGCCTTTAAGGTCTCGTGCGCGTTTACTGGTCCTGCCTCCGTGATTGCCCAATCCGAAAAAGAGTCTCCGCTCCCCACGGTCCCTCTCCCTTCGCTCCTGCTCGCCCTGTTCGGCATCCGCCTTGCAGGTCGCCTGATGGGAGACTCGACTCGGATAGGCTTTAAAACTTCGGCTCTGATAATGATCCAACAAAGGGTCACTCTGGACGGATGAGGAGTGTCGTCCGTCCAGAGTCACCCTTGCTGCTCCCCACTGCAGCCTTGAAATATTTGAGGTAGATGTGCACAGCCAGAAAGAACAACACTCTTAGGGAAGGACAATAATCGGGGGGCAGGATCTGCTCCTTGCATCATACTGGCTACGGGTCACGGAAAAATGCCTCAAAAGAGCTCATTACTTTTCCAATTAATGGCCTTTTGCCACAAAACCGTCTCCCTAATTTCATGTCCCTCTTTTCCGGCTCCTCGCGGGAAACTTCCCGTGTGCGTCTTGCTTTGTTGCTTCCCGTCGGGGTCATGTGGCCATGCCTACACGTAATCGACAATCCACAAAACAGCAATGCTCGCCGAGCCAATCTTCAAACCTCATATTTCGCATCATGCTCCCCCCTTGCAGCTCTTCGCACACGAGCTTTCGCCAGCGCAAGAAGCCAGTCAATAATCTAGGCTCAAAGAACTACAAAATATGGTAGCAAAAAGCCACCCCGCCACCATCAACTTTTGCGTGTCTTCCCGGCTACCTATTTCCCCACTGGCGTGCGCTCAGTCTTCTTCTTGTGCTGGCCCTTAAATCAACAGGCCTCCCTGTCTTCTGCGCTCTACTAGGCAAGCAACGTCCGTGCATCTATTCTCAATAAACGTCGTGCTCACTCCCCCATCCATCCGTCAGACGTTGGAAGCTGCAGATGGGGCAGCACTGCCGACCGATTCCTTGGTAGACGCCTGGTCATCAATCTCCGCATGGGGTTTTTGCGACCCCGCAGGTTCTGTAACGTCCTGCTCTAACCACTCGTACAGAGACGGATCCACATCCTTCGATCCCGAGTCTGCCAGCATTTTGACCTGCCTCTTGCCGTGTGCAAACACTTCCTCTACCCACTGGCGCAAGTCTTCCATTTTGATAGACTTGAGAGCATGACCGTCATCTGCTCACAGCACAGCGAAACAGCTCCACAAGCGCGCACACCACAACCCCCGTAAACAGCACCGACCCCATCAGCTCCTCTGACCGGCATGCAGCAGCGTCCGCAGAAATGACACAGCCTGTCTTCCCCATACCAACACCCACACCTCCCGTTTGGTAGGCCCCTTCCCTTCTATCCATACAAAACGATAGCGTCTCTCGCTTTCTTCCTGCCCGCGTGCTATCGAGCACACCACCCAGCTCAGTAAACCTTCTTTCCGAGCATTTTACAAGACAGGAAATGCCTCACTTATCACTTCTAGACGGCTGCGTCCTGGCCCAGCGGCCGTCTCTAGGAGGCGGATCGAGTCGTCTAGGGGCACAGTCTTGTCGCCAGATCCATGAACAATGAGGACGTATGGAATTGCATGCAAGGTGAAGACATTGCGCAATCGCATGAAGCGTGCATACTGCTCATGCGCTGGTGACAGCAGCAGCTGCAAGGACCGAGACACGCACACCCAACGCAGCGCAGGCTTCACCGACACCTTCGCGGCTGCCGCTTCGAGTCACAATTGCACACAGTGCCGACTGGCTCTGCTGTCGAAGGATACGACTTCGTGTCAAAGAGGCTACAAACAAACATGCGAACCTTCGCTCTCGCCGTACCATCGGAACTTTTGGAACGTCCATGCTGAGTGCCACGACGGCACCGAAAGAAGTCGCAACAATGACGTTGGATCTCTGCTCCTTGAACTTCTTCTCGGCAATGCGGACCGCCTTCATCCACATGAAGTGGGTGGCCCCTTTCCCGCCAAGCCAGTACAGAAGCACCAAAAGAGCCATCTGCCAGAACACAACGGCGCGAACGCAACTAGCGTGAGGAAGCGGCAAAGGCAACCCGGTCCAACAAGCAACCAAACACGATATATATATATGCAGCGCACCCAAGAGCAACCAGCACATACACGAAGAGGCTTGACGCAGAAAAGGGGAGAAGCCGGCTAAGTCTGGGGAGGTAGTCTTGCAGAAGCAGCTAGTACCGACCACACCGGCAAAGAGTCCGCGAGGCACACACACAGCGAAACCTCTGGCTAGTGCCTCTCCAGCCGAGGCAGACAGAAGAAAAAGGAGCTCAAAGAAGAAGTTCAGTGCTCTGGACTTACCGCTCCCAGGAAGACTGATAGGCCTACATACCACTTGGCAAGCACGGCAGCGGCTCTACGGGAGAGACACAAACACGAAGTGAGAAGACGGAGGAAGGACTACAACGCATGCTCGCCTAACGAGCGGCAGACTCCCGCAATATCCAGAAAGCAAAAAGCTGAGGATGGCGAGAGGACGCACTGGACAGACGTGAAGGGAAACTGTGCCTACATGCAAGCACTAAGCAGGATAATTGCCACGACCACAAAAATGAGGACAAACATCATGATGGTCTGTCTGGTCTTCAGGTTTGGAGCTTTAACCCTTTGCTTCCCGATAGCTTTTTCTAGCAGACGCTGCTTATCGCTGCCAGGGGCCGAGTCCAATTCATGGAGAAATAAGACTCTAAGCCCCTGATCCCCTCCGAGCGACGATGGTGACGAGGCAGCCATGGTGCACGCTTCTCTCAGGATTTAACAGACAAGATCCTGGAGGCGCTTAAAGCAATGACGAAGGTGAGGCGAAAACCGACTCAGAACGGACGATTGCTGGAAACTGGTATTTTGGGGGGTGCGATGGATGCAACTAGCTACTGGCTAAAAGGCCCCGAGCAAAAAGGTGCCTGGAGAGTAACAACAGCAACCGAACTTCCTGCTTTTTCTGCTGCTGATACTGCTGGCTGGAGTCGCTTACGCCGCTGCTGCTTCCTCCGGCCTTGGTGCAAGCCAAATGCAGTGCGCTGGATAAGTGTCCACTGTAATGGTAGAGGCAACCCTGGCGGGGAGCGTCGCTTCTTAGGGCTGAGGGGGTCCAGATACCTGTAGTTAAATAAACATATAAAATTTCCCACCAAGCTCCGAAATCCGCGCGAAGAAGCTGTCAATGCAGATGCCTTGCCCCAAAGAAGGAACCAAAGAACCAGTGGACGATCAGTGGATTGGTGATGGCTGTGGATCGCCTCAAGTGTGTGAAAGCTGCCCGCTGCATAAAAATTGACGAGAGGTCCTCACGATAAAGCAAAAAGGCACAGACAGACAGGCAGCTCCAGAGCGTTAGCTGGAGGTGTGTGTGGGGGTTGGTTGAGCCCAGCTATAAGGCTACCGCTCGTGAGGTTGAGAGCGAAGGCTGCTATGGCCACAAGAGTAAACGACTTCGATTGCTAAAATCTATCTTCAAGGCAGACCATCGGATCCATGTTTGGTGCTGCTGCAAAGCGCGTGCAACGCGCTGGCAGAGGAGTTCTACTCGGCACGATAGCACAGGCTTCGATATCCTGGTCTGGCTGTGGGGCGCATCCCCAGGAGCCACACGGAGAAAGGACAACCTCCCGGCAGAAATGAGCCACCTAAGAGCGCTTAATGACACAATGTAATTGAAAATATATAGAAGCAAACAAGAGGGGCAGAAGTACTGGCAAACACCTTCTCCGTAACCACAGCGAGCGGTGCTCACTGAAGGGATGGTATTGACCCACGTAGAAGAAGCGCACGGCTCGTCTTAACCTCTCTTAGGCAGAGAGGAAATACAAAATGTATAAGAGAATGCAATTTTACCTTTCTGTACGGTGTGAAGAAGGAGATTAGCACAAGCAGACGTCGCTGCTCAAATAGCACGCAACGAAACCCACGCGCAGCAGTGCGGGCTGTACAACAGCACTGGCCCACACGTGCTTTCCCACTGCTGCAGTTTCTCTGTGCATGCCTTCTATTTTCATTAAAAGATCCCCTTAAACGGCTCCATCCACCCTGTCTGCGCTGCCCTAGAGCACTGGGAAGCGCAATACTTTCAAAGAGACTGCCCTTGATCCCCCTTATCCCCCCAAGTGTATATGCGTTTACATCCAGGCAAAAGATTGACCTCTTGCGTCTCCAGTATTTGCATTTGCAAGGCTTAGGACCTTATGAGTTTCTTTGACCCCAGAAACACCGTTGCTCGCTTTAAGCAGAGCTCTCGTTGCGTGCGGCAAGCTCCACGGGGGCACTTCCTTACACTTCCTCTACATTAAACAGCAGCTTTGCTAGTCGCTAATTGTACGGACTCGTTTTGTTCGGTTTGTAACAGAACTGGGGTAGGCGCACACGTCCAGTACGAATGCTGGGTTAGTGGTCACTTGTTCACCGCATCATGAGCGCCATGGTCTGTTGACCCTCTTGTGCATCATCAGCATATTTTAACAAAGCCAGGTCGCCATGCCCAATTCACAAAATTAGCCTCCGCTTATACCTGACATGTGCATCGCTCTACTGAGATTCAGGTAAGCATTCCCGTGGATTGGTCATTTGCTTCGCTGGGCATTGTTGTTGTTGGAACATTCTTCATCTGAGGTCACCCTAAAGCCCACTCCAGGATCTCCACAAGAAGACACTTCAGTCCACATTCAATTCAAATTTAATAGAAAATTAATTACTGCTTCTTAAAAGAGCTTCCTCCTTCCCCTGCCCGCGCCCCTGTGAGAGGACCCAACACTAAGGTAGAAGGACAGAAAGTTTGATCGTTGCTGCATGGTGTGAGCTCTACCAGTATTCACAGATATTTGCACATGACATCGAGGGCAGATTCGCACAACATTGCGCCTGTCTCTATCGAGATCTCAGGACTTTGTATAATTAAGATCTACAAGGAGCGGGTCAATCAGTCAATCTTTTATTCATTCTTTCGGAACATAACCAGCGTAGTCAAAATTTGCCAAGTGTAGCTTGCCCCTCCCATTCGTTTCAAAGCATTCGCCCTTGTATTTCATGTCTGTCCGCCGAGACTAAGTGCGTGCAGGACAAAGAGTTCCCGCCCCACCGCTACTCCCCAGGCACCAAGAAGCAAGTACAATAGTGCAAAGAAGAACCAAAGGGGGGATAGTCCCCCAAGGACAGATTGGTGATAACAAACGTAAGCACCGTAGCCAGCACCAAGTGAGGAACCAAACTTACACGACGGCAGCGGCGCAATGACCCGCTCTCGTCAAAGAAGCGCTACACTGTGTACGCCTCCTGCTTTAGGAAATCAGGAAAAGTAGAATGTGTACTGGCAATCAAAATGCATATCATGTAAGAAGTGCCTTTGCTCCTCATTAAGGGATTTCAGTATTCAAATATGGCCGGCGCATGCAGCATAGTTGAGCTCAAAACCGCAGAAAAGCATCAGGATGAAGGTTAGACCGAAACGTCTGAGAGTGCCTGTGCATTAATGTGAGTGTAGAAAACAGTTGAAACATAGCAGTTGAGGGCCCTTAAACCAGTATTCATCTAGAAAGGTAGCTAGTTGAGGCAGAGCGTGCTGTGGGGTAGGAGAATTGACACAGGAAGAGAAGAATACCTTCCATGGCGACCAGTACTGTTGTAGGCGAAACAGAGCTGCAAATTATCCTGGAGGCAACAAAGCTCACCTCTGATCCCCCTTTAGGAACGTTGATATTTTCCCCCCTTTCGAAAGTAGCTCCTGTCTCGTGTGTCCTCGGCGCTCAATCGTCCTAGAATTTAGCGCTTCTACATGTCACCTCGGATTGTCCACCTCCACACGGGCCACTCGCCTGGCCGGCAAAGTTCCGCGAATAATCGAAGGAGCCTCAAAGCTTCTTTCAGAAGCCAATATTGCTAGCGGTGTGGCCCCTCCTGGCCTAGACAAAAACGATATAGTCTGCAAGAGAATTGGGTCCGAGCCACCAGACCAAACACGTGTTTGCTCAGTCACCTCTTGCAGTTCGAAAGGCAGGCCAGCTCCCAAGGACCAAATATCCGGGCTCAAAACACACAGGCTATCGCCGCTCATCATAATTCCGTGCTTTTGTCTCCTAAACTTTGTACATACACTCGCGTACCCTAGCTAGGTTTCCTTTGATCTTCCACTGCTATGGGAAGCACTGACGTTGGACCACCAGGTTTAGGCTTCGTTTGTAGAAGGAGTCCTCAATGTACGCCAAGGCTGCGCGAGAGCAACAGGTCTACTAGTAAGGTATTGTTGCATCATAAATTCACTCAACACAAGAAAGGGATTCAACCAAAGCAATTGGATTTATGGTAGCACAGAGCAGCAGATACTTTAGAAGAGTGCGCCTCGTGCGCTTTTGCCTGCTCCTTTGTCTCACGGTGGCTCGCAGTGGCCACGCTGTACTCGACGGGTGGACGGGTAAACGACAGGCACGTCTGCACGCATTATTGAGTATCGGATCCCTATCGCAATGATATTCCTGTGGAATTTGCCAAGCTTTCAGACATGAGTAGAGAATAGGCGAACTGCTTCCTGAGCCATGACAGAGCTGGACCAAAAAATGAAGTAGGTTTTTCTTCTGAGTTGATCTGCAACGATGTAGGTACGATCCTGACCCTTGGCCTCAGCCAGGCCAACATAATCAGTCCAAATCCCTTCAGAAGATATACGGCTGTGCAAAGGCTCGGGTTCAGAAGAACTGTTACGGTGTGGTCGCTTCAACCATTATTGGATATGGCTCAATTTGTGCAACCAAGGCATGGATTCCTCAAAGCACAATCGTTCTCACAAAAAGCGAACACATGTGTGCCTTGAAATGCACTGCTTGTCCCACAGCAGCTGTAGCGCATGCTGTGCTGTAGGAACTCTCGAATCTTTCAACTGGGGACAACGACGTGCTTAATATAAACAGCCATCCAGCCCTCCTCAAGAACTTTGTGAAATTAACGCATACACAAACAAACAAACATACATACATACACACACACACGCACAAACTCCATATGATCAAAGTTTTGAATTGTAGATACGTAAGAGAATGGTGATTCGTCTGGACAGTACGATGACGGCCGTATAAATAGATTCAGCACGCCCCTTCATACCCTATACTCTTCCTTCTTCTTACAGCCGATCCCGCTACTCGATGTGTGGGAGTGTCCTGGACGCTTATGAAGGTCTGGGCAATCGATGTTGACTTCGATGTTCCAAAATTTCTATCGAAAATGATTGAGTGCTTCACATTTGAGACTCATTTATCAGCTACATTCGCGAAAATCCAGAATGGCAAAAGGTCAAGCATTATCCTATTGGGTATGGCTTGGTATGCTTCAAACACAGTGAGGACTCCGCTACTTGTACATTACGACTCCTTTCGCGGTGGCGCCCTGCGCGTAGCACAGTACTGTAGATTTATAATACAACACTACGTTACCAGAGTACCCATGGCTTTCATGCGGTGTTGAATTTCATTGAGAACTCTTTTTACAAACCAAGCCTGAACCTGGTGGTCCACCGTCAGTGCCCCCCGTGGCATTGAAAGAAGCCAGAAAACAAGTAGCTCGTGCAAGCAAATTTGTAGACAGCTTTTAGGAAACACAAGCATGGGTTCATGATGAGGGGCGGTAGCTTGTATGTTTCAAGCCTAAATATTTGATACTGGTGAATCAGCATGGCTTCTGACTTGCAGCAGAAGTGACCAGACGACGACGTTTGCGGTCTGGTGTATAGAATCATTGGCAATTCTCTCACAAGCTAGTGGCCTTTGTAGCACAATTGATCTTGTTCTAGGCTGATAATGCCACAAAATCATCAGGGGAGCTTTGCGGAGCAGTCAAGTTGTCCCGTAGGGGGGCAGATGATCCACAGGGATTCGGAAAAAAAAGTAGAACGATTGAGCGCCGTGGACACGAGACAGAATTTTCTACTTCAGCAAGGAGGGAAGCGCCAACCTAAGTTTGTGATGGAGGAACGGCTGCGGTCTTCTTCGTCTGTGGGAGAATTCGCAGCTGTGTTGTGTCCACCGTGCTGCTCGCCAGGCAACATCTTCCTCGCATTCCTTGGTAACACTCTTGTTCCCTCGCTCCTTCTGCATAAAATATTTTATTTTCAATGTTTGTGTTTTTCAGATGGTCTTTCTCGGCTACTGTTCAGTTTTTTTTCTACACTCAAATTTATGCGCATGCACTCCTACGGGAGGCTGTCCCACCCATGCTTCCTTATGCCTACTTTGGGGGTCTGAACTCAAGTTTACTGCATGTACGGGATGTGTTCGTAAGCTGATATCGATCCGTGATGGGCGAAGGCACTGCTGAATAGTGTCAGATTTGATCCGCCCAAAGCACATATGCTTCTGCCGTTCCTCGTATCAGTGTGCTCACATATTGGGTCGCTCCGACGCTACCGAGCATCGCACCGCCGCGGGGGAGTAGGCTTGATCCCTTGTTGGTGGTTTTATAGTGGGTGAATATCTTGTTGTAGCTTTATCTTTACCGGATAACGCCCACCTTGGTATTTTTATTTGCACTGTTTTCATGTTTCTGGCATCCTGGGAAGTCGCTAGGGCGGGAGCCCTTTTGCTGTCCTGCGCGCAGCTTGTCTTGTTGGACAGGTACAGCATACGGGGGCGTGTGTTTTGAATGGAGAGGGTTGAGGTTGTAGGGATCCAAGCTACGCTTGGGCATTCTGTTGCCCTGATTATGATGACCAAGAATTAACTCAAAGTTGACTCATTGCAGTGTGTCTTTTATATCTTACCAATAAAAGAATATTGCTTGCTCTTCCAAGAAGCACAGTGCTCTATGTAAAAGCTGTAGAAGCTATGGTCAGCAAGCCGTAAATCCTGTTAAAGACCAAAGGGTTCAGCGACGCGGACGCTAGCTTCCCCTCTCCCCTCATGTCGGGAAATCTGAGATGCGCGGGCAGAGAAAGGGTTAAGGTTTCTAGTAAACACTCAATAATTTCCTATCAGGTTTTCATTGAATCTGGAGTAAAATATTTTACACGAAAAGCTTGGATGGAGCGTTACACCCTTCAAAAGGTTTCTCTTGAAGTGAAGTGCATACTCAGAACCGTCCAATCCTGTTCTGCAGAATCCCCTGCAAGAATTCTCTGCCTCATTGTACTGAGGTACGAACTGTGCCCTACTTGCTATAGATGAGATGATGATTATAGAGTAAAAATGGACCTGCCCCATCCTAGTGCTTCTGGGAAGGCTTACCTCCACAGCACGCAGCTTTGGCCGCATTTGGACGTTCCATTGGGTCACCTCATGGCATACCTAAGATTACGTCATGGTTCTCAGATCCAACATAAAAGCACTTGACCATACTGAGAGGATCAGATCAAAGCGGCATTTTAATGCCCTGGATCTGCCAACTCCTACATTTTGCAGCTGGTCAACAAAGTTGACTGTTTGGAGCTACGTTAACAAGTGAGCAGGCATAGTGCCGTCTGCGCTTCATCCTCAGGTAACGAATCCACTTTACGTGCAGCTTCAAGTGGCACTACCAATTCTTAACTGTCAATGGGAAACGGCATCATTGCGCAATTGCCCCATGGTGGGTCTCCAACTGTGGCTCTAGCCGCTGAAGCCTGCTTGTTGCGTCGCAGCCTGTGTGATGGTGTTGCCTAGGCAGGAAACTTCGAGTAGACCCATTCTCGTTGTTTAAGGTCTTTGCCTGCTTGCATGTGCTTGCACTTCCAGATATGATCACTTTTACCCACAATAGGTACAGATGCGTTGCTGGGGGGCTGCATCGGGCTGTCTAGGAGAGCATTTAGTCTCTACTATCCTCGTTTTGCTCACTTTCGCTTGTAGGCTAGAGCCAGTCGACACAACACCAACATTCCAAGGTTCTGGACTCCCATTTAGCTCTTCCTTTTTAGCCGAAAACGCAGCAGCTGCACTTGATGGCTAATTGGCTGCTCAAACTGCAGTCTTATGAAGTGTGATTGCGGGTAGACCCGAGATAAACCACCACTGAAGCAGTGTCTGTCTACGTTGTGGCTTCGGCAAACAAAAGCTTCATACCCCTCGGTGTACAAATCTACTTGTAATTTCTCCCTCTTCGGTTTCTTAATTCTTCCGAAGCTTGCTGTTGAGCTGATCTGGGCATATGCCAATAATACAGAGCTTGTCTGAAGACCTAATCGTAGTAGTTCTTGCATGCAGACGACCTCTCCTGCATGAATAGAGTCGCCATCGAAGTTCTCCTTCCAAATAGCAGAAAGCCAGGAGCACTCGCCTTCATCTGAAGAGTGCAGCGTAAGTTACATTTCCAAGATGCCGATGCAATTGCGAGTACTGGCCTGTATTTATGGATGTTATACGTTTCCGATCAACAGTGCATTATCAGAACATCGAAAAAATAATTGTTCGACTAAGGGGTCGTGGCTTTGCCGCATCAGCAAGCATCGCGCCATTGTCAGGTTTTAAAAGACTGGCGAAGACTGAGTTCAAAGTACTAAATCAGCAACTGATGGTTTTGACGCTGGACACATGTTCTAGGAAAATCGGACGTCAAGCTGCATTGGTGGCTAATATACTAGCGGTAAACAGCAGGATCGAACCATGTAGTCTTTCCTAGTAGTGCGCTCGATCTAAGGCCTCCGTAGAAAGACCCTTGGCCCGAATTCGACATAAGCTCAACGGAAAGCTAATGGGTGATTTCCAAAAAAAGTGCCACCTCCCCCTATCCGCGCCTTCAGGATTTCGACGTGACAGGAGAGATACAGCTAGAGCGAGCGGATCTGCACCCTCTGAGCATCCGGAGCATTCACAACTAGTTGCACACAACATCTAGGGCGGACTAACACAACAATGTGTCGTCTGGTATCGACCAAACAGTACTCTGCAATAAATGAGCTGTTCGAACAGGCAAACGATATAATCAGTTTCGTGGTCGTTCATAGATGATATGACTACTGTTCTAGAAATTTTGAAACGTAGCTTTGCCCAACACGCAGGCTATCCCTTTCTCCCCATGTCAGAACCTTTGAGGACGGGAACAAGTAGAAGCGAGAGTCCTTTTGTGGAACACTCGAAAACTCTCCAATCAGATCTTACTGAGTCCAAAGACAGGTGTCTCCCTATGGACACCTTAAATAACGCGTCACACTTCCAAAAGCGCCACGCTTCTCTGCTCTTTCTCCCTAGGGCTCCGACGTGAGGATAAAGGGCTGGCCAGGGGGCGCGTAGCTGCACACAATAGGCCCTTTGATAATTGAAGTTATTCGTATACAGCATCTAGGGCAAACGCGCCCAATAGTCTTGTTGTATCGAGCTAGCTCTACAATAAACACCATGCAAACAGCCATAACAATGTTTCGATGTATCAGTAGTGCTTACTTCATGATAACTAGTGTAGCAGAAAGTGTGTGAACGCAGAATAACCCTTAGTTCCGTGGAGTATGCATAGGGCAAGTGTTTGCATCGGGTACGCTCCACTAAGATAGTGCTGCTGAAAGCAATGAAAAAGCTCGCCTATATGGCCTCCAGAGGAGTCGAATATCTCAAGGGCAAGGCAGCCTCTTTCGCAGGTCTGCCAAGGGGTGCTGCTTTAGCGGTTTGCCAACCACTCCAAGGGATTTTGTCAGGGGTTGAGTAGCATTTAAATCAGCTGGTCCTCACTGCCGCAGCAGCGCTTAGACTACCAGAGCTGAAGGTCTCCTAGGATTAATTAGGGGCCAGGACGGCAATCTTTCAAGGTGAAATTTGATTCGTTGCATGGCCTGCCCAGTTGGCTCGGTCGGTTTGCATGATTCAGCAGAAGATACAGGGATACGCGCCATCAATATGCACGCGAAACATCCCATTTAAGCTCTCCATGGCGCTATTTAGAGCAGCACCCACAGCAAACTTTCGGATGGGGGGCCCCAGGGGCCCCCAGTCGGCAGCGCTATCGCCATATCCGCAGTGCCGCTGTATTGCCCGTGCAGTACACGCGCAGCAATCCGGAATGAGGCGGGTGCTGTATCACTGTACTTACTGATTCGTGTGTTGCTTACAGGGCCAGGACCATTCCGGTTGCTCTGTGGCTGTGCCTATACACCCCACCGGGCACTAGCGATAGCAAGTTGATGGAGATCCGGGGGAGACTTGGGGTATCTTCCGCCTTGTGGTAATCGCCTGAACTCGAGAAAGCCAGCAAAAACCACTGAAGCGTCCGTAAACTCTCGGGTAGCCATCCTCCTTGGCCTCTGCTTCCGGCCACACAAGCGACACTGCGATCTTGTGGATGAAGCTGCTGCTTATGTCCTGCAGCCACTTTCAGAAAAATTGCCTAGAAAATCCACATCTGTATTTTTAAGTTGTGGATGCAGAGCTGTGGAGCTCATTCCCCAGCTGTCGCTCATACCGAGGCCGCTTCCCATGGATTCACCGAGGCAGCAAGCAGCTCCGCGTAAAGGCCAAAGAAAGCAAGCACAACAGTACCAGAAGGCACGACATCATGTCTCTGTGTGGCTTGTCGACCTCAAGGGGATGATAATCTCGCAGTGGATCTCGCAGATACGGGCATCAGGAGGCTTCCCAGTAGCAGCAGCCAAAGAGCACCACGAACACTAGCAGCAGCTGTAACGGCAAGGAATGGATGAGGTGGCTCTAAGTCCACAAAAGCTGCGGAAGGTGCAGCAAGTCGCCGAGATCTCGTGTCTCTCAGAGCAGCTGGCCGTGGCGCTGCTCGTCGCCTCCTGCTGGAGTGTACAGGTTCGGCTGCTTCCGTAGCTTTCGCCCTCTTTCTCGAAAAACTCGCTCCTCTTGCAAGCCGAAGCTTCTTCTTCTGCTTCACACCGTTGCTGCCTCCAGGCAGTCATGCCAGGGGCCTTTCTCGCGCAGAGTGTGTGTGTGTACTTGCGGGGTGTTCCCCAACGGCTGCAAGGAGGATCCTCTTGGCTCCCCCTCGTGCCTTTTCAAAGAATTCCATCCGTCTCACCAGACGCTTCCGTTGCGCGCACATCCTATAGACGCCTCCCTTAGGCTAATACACTTGCGTGTTCTTCCCGGTGCCGCATGTGTGTGCAGCGCGCAGTGTCTCTACACGTGGAGGGGCGTTTGTGGCGCCTCTTTGGACTCCGCCGCTGCCCTTCAGAGCCGCAGACTCTCCCTCCTAGCCTCATCCTCTCTATTTGGACTGCCAAAGATGTCAAGCACAACGGAAGCTACAGAGTTGTCGTTGAATGTGGCCTTGCGGCACGTAGACTCAGCGCCTGGACAGAAGGTCAGTCAGCTGCGCGGGAGCGCGGGAGCCGTCCCTTAAGGCTTCTCTGCCCCTCTTCCGACTACCTACTCTTCTTCTCCTTCCTTTCCTGCAGCTGGATCGCCAGCAGCACCACTGCAATATGCGGCATCCCCCCACCAGGCGGCTCTGCATGCGAGTCGCCACACGCGCGACGATTCTGCCGCTGTTGTGTAGCGTCGCGAGGTTTCGCTGGACCTGCCTTTGTGCAGTGCTCGGGAAGGCTGCGCAGCGCATGCATGCCATGCTCCTGTCTCGCGACTGTGTCTTTCAGGCACCAGGGAGCTCGTGCCGCTGCAGTTCACCTGTGGCTTTCCCTGGGTATCTGCCGGGGAGCAGCTGAAGTTTTCCTTGTGGAGGAAGAGGCTGGTGGTCAGCAACAACACAAAACTGCCCGTTTCAGCTTCCTTGTCGAGAGTTCCTCTCGAAGACTCGCTGCTTCCAAGGCTCCCTGTGTTTGTGTTGGACGCTTTTTGAGTGCTGCCGATGTGTTATTTCGTGTATTCTCTCCGGCTCTTGGGTGCATCCATGTCTGCCTCCTTCATTTGCTGGCCATGCGCTGCTCTCCTTTTCCTCCCTCTTTCTCTCTGGAAGCGGGAGTCGCTCTTTTCTTCTGAGAAGACCTACGCGTTTCTCTCCGTTTGCTGCTGCCGTCCTCCACATGAGCCTGCCTCCCTGACAGAAGACACATGCCGTTTGTGAGCTCTCCGCGTGGAGTTGTTATGGGGGTGTTTGCAGCAAGACGACAAGTGCGTCGGAGTCGCCTACTTGGCGTGCTCGCTAATTCCTCAAGAAGTCACCAGTGTAAGCCGCCTCGCTCTTGAACACAAATCGCGAAAAAGCGGTGTTCTCACCGTTGAAGGCTTTCGCTTCCGACCCAAAATTCCTCCTGCTGCTATTGCTGCTGCTGCTGCTGCTACTACTGCTGCTCCAGCAGCAGCAGCAGCAGGAAGAGCTGCTGCTGCTGCTGCTGGAGAGGCCGCCAAGCGGCAGCCCTCGCACAGCCGACTCCAGCAGCTGACTGAAGGCACCTTGAAGACGCAACAAGCACGTGGCGAGCATGCAGCTGCCGACGCAGCGGCAGCAGCTGCTCCACGAGCTGGCCTTTTACGCGAAGAAGACATCTCAGCCGCTGCTGCAAGCCTCCAGAAGGCGCAGGTTGGTCTGCCACAACGAAGCAGTCGTAGCAGTCTCTCCCTTGATTTGCTGGATCTATTCGACCCTCCCACAGAGGAGCACCACGAATTGCAACAGCAGCAACAAACGGATGAGCAAGGAGTCATCCAGCAAGGCTTTCCTGCCCAGAATCGCGTCGAAAAGAAGTCTGTGCAGCAGCAACAGCACCACCCCTCCATTCAGCAGCCCACGCAGCTGCGTCGCGAGCCACCGCCCAAACCGCAACCGTTGCCACAGCAGGAGGAGGAACGTTCCAAGCAGGGGGAGTCTCTCCTCGAGCTGCAAGAGCCAGAGCAAGAGCCACGTCTAGCGTATCCTGCCGCCGCTGCGCTGGACGCACTTTTCTATGCAGATGTAGCTGCGCACTGTACAGATCCTGAAGCAGCAGCGGCGGCCAGATCTGCTGCTGCAACTGCTGCTGCGGCTGCTGCTCTGCCTTCCGAGGAAATGTTAGGTCTGTGGCAGCCGACAGAAAAGCTGCCTCTTCCAAAGCCGCAGCAACAGCAACAAGGGCCGCATGCAGAAGCGGTGGAAGCCCTAGTGGCGAGCAGCAGTGCGCCTCAGCTGCAGCCGCTATTTCTCGTGGGCAAGACTGCGGAGGCGCCCGCTACTGCCGCTTCTGGCTCACCGACGTCGCACGCAGCTCCTGCAAGCACTGTCAGTCAAGGGGGAGTTCCTCCCCAAGAGGCAGGAGTGGCGGCAGAAGATCGGCCGCTCTTCTCGTCGCCGCCTCCCGCTGGTGCACCCCCCAACGCTGCTGCAGAGTCTTCTGCAGGCAGCCCATCGTGCTCGCGTCCAAGCCGACCGCTGCCTGCACTGCAGCACGCGCTCGCGAATATCGAGAGCTCAGCGGCTGCGACGCAATCAGCTCCCCACGCTGCAAGGGGAGCGGAGGGAAGGCTCTCAGCAACGGCAGACGCGCTGCCTGAGCGAGTCTTGGGTACCGCCTTCCTCAGTCCAGCGACTCCCCGCGCATCTCCTGGTGATGGTGCGCCTGCGCCGTCGAAGAGAGTGGTGGCACCCGCAGACGACGAAACCTTCAACGGCGCAGGCGAGCTTCCCCACGAAGACGGTGCTGGCGAAGTGCCTCGTGGCGAAAAGCTGCAACCAAGGCACCCAAGCGAGGGAGAAAAGCAGCACCTGACGGCTCCCTTCTGGCCTGCTGCTTCCGAGGCAAGCAGTCAGGCACCACGCGCTGCAGCAGCAGCTGCCTCGTCAGCCGATGCCTCCTCACCCTCAGCAGCAGCTGTCTCACGAAGCTGGACCCCTTCACGTGCTCGTAGTCTTGCCCCTGCATGGCCTCCTACAGCCTCCCCTGCCGGGAGTTTTGTCTTCCAGAAAAAGACAACGCCTCCGAAATCACAGTCCGAGCAGCAGCAGCTACAACAGCAGGCGCGGCACCAAGCTCAGCAACAGCAGCCACTGCCGCTGCTGCAGGGGGGGGGAGAAACGCCGCCTGCTCTGCTGGCGCCTGCGCAGCCACAGGTGCTCCAGCAAGCCAATGTACACTTGCAGGGGCAGGGGACGCCGCCGCAGCTGCAGCAGCAGCAGCAGCAGCAGCAGCAGCAGCAGCCATTCTGCATCGTGCACAGCTCTGATGCACATGGGCAGCTGCAACAGCTCCAGCTGGATTCTTTTTCCCAGCCAGCATGGCCTCAACAACAGCAGGAATCGCCTCCGGCTGCCCAGCTGCAGCACCTGCAGTTACAGCCGCAGACCTTTCCACATGCAGCGCAGCAACAGCAGCACCAAGCGCAGCAACAGCAGCACCAAGCGCAGCAGCAGCAGCACCAAGCGCAGCAGCAGCAGCACCAAGAACAGCAGCAGCAATCCACCAAGAGCTTTTTCAGTGCGTTCAATCCGTTCCCCGAAAAACAGCAGCCCAAACCCTCTTTTGCGGCAGCTCAGGAAGGGTCCCCTCAGCCGTTATTGCCACAGCAGCAGCAGCAGCCACAGCAGCAAGCTCAGCAGCAGCAGCTGTCAGTGCCACCACAACAGCAGCAGCCACAGCAGCAAGCTCAGCAACTGCAGTCGCAACAGCCGGAAGGGGGTAAGAAAAAGTCCGTGTTCTTCCTGCCGTTCCGACTGCGGCGCAATACGAGCAGCAGCAGCAGCAGCAGCAGCAGCAGCAGCAGCTGTGCTCCTAATCAAGCAGGACTAGCTGTACAGGGATATCGAAGCGAACCTGCAGCACCTGCAGCTCAGCCGTCGTCAGCCGCAGTGCCATCACACGCCAGTGCTTTAGAAACAGGAGTTGCAGCAGCTGATCCTCAAATGCAGCACCACCCGCAGGAGGAGGATCAGAGGCAGCGTCTCATGCATTACTGGCCCTTCGGAGTTACCAAAGATGCAGCAGCAGAGGCAGGAGCAGAATCTTCACCCGATTCATCACCAACAAGCTTCGACCACTCGTGTCACTCACTTTCCTTGCAGTTTCCAGAGTCCGCCTCACGATCCGAAGCCACGCTTCCTGCTGCTGCTCCTGCTGCTGCTGCTGCTGCTGCTGCTCTTCCTCCTCTTGCCACGGCTCCTCAGTTTCCCACCGCAGCTGACAGCAGCCCCTTTGAGTCCAACTTCCGTTCCCCCGTGGCCACTTCGCGTGTCGCTACACCACAGCATGTCTCGTGGGCAGCTCCCCTGCGCCTACCTGACGAGCAGGTCGATGATGAATCCGAGCAGAGCCAACGGAGTGCGCGCGAGGAAGAGACTTCTTCGTGCAAGCTGTCTCACCGGGACCATACTTCGCGTGAGCAGAAACACAAGCGCGATAGGCACCAACGCCAGAAGCAAAATAGGGGGTCTAAGATCTTCAAAGACGCGCAAAATGAGCAGCAGCAGCGCCTGCTGCTGCTGCAGGATGGTGCGACGCAACTGGAGGAGAACGAGCGACGCCTGCGAGAGCAAGGGCAGTGGGAAGGAGGTGATGACAGTCCAGTTCGCAGCTCGTGGGAAAAGCGTGTCGGTCCTAGGCCTAACGACCCTTTAGACGCGGCAGACACCCCTCGAGAACATGAAGCCTCAGCAGACTTTGGAGAGCAAGCAGCAGCAACAACTGGACAAGTCGCTGCGGAGCAGCAGGCAGCGCTCATGAAAAAGGAGCGCGAGCACCACCGTTCCCACAGAAAATCAAAGGAGCGCAAGAAGGCTGCTGCGAAGAAGGAGACTCGCCAAGAAGGCACGCCAGATGAGTGGGGCGAATGTGGCTGGGAAGGCACTACAGCCGAATCCTCTCGAGCTGGCATGCGAGTGTCTGCGTGGCCTTTGTATCCCCATTCAAGCGAGAGTGGCAGCACAGCAGCAGCAGCAACAGGGCAAGTGCAAACCCAACAGCTGCAGCAGCTGCAGCAGCTGCAGCACTTCTGGGGGCAGCTGCCAGTGCCTGAACGGCAGGAATATCCCCAGATCAACGAGAACTCTGCTCCCCTTGCGGCCGTTAATCGATCTCCCTTCTCTAAGCACATGGCGCAGCAGCAGCAGCAGCAGCAGCCGCAGCAGCAGCCGCAGCAGCAGCCACAGCACCCTTGTCGCTCTCTAGAGCAAGATGCAACTCACCAAAGGGGCAGGCACACTCTTAAGGTCGCCTTAGCAGAGTCTGCTTCGCTTGGAGGCATTCAGGCTGCTCCCGTGTCGCAACCCTCAAGTCTCCCTTTGCAGCGAGTGGCCGCTGTTTTGCCCATGCACATGCAGCAGCAGCAGCAGCAGCAGCAGCAGCAGCAGCAGCAGCACCCTCTCCACTACCAGACACACCTGCATCCCTCGCATGCCTATCCAATTGTTTCTCACCCCATGGAGCAGGCGCTCTCTCCTGGAGTGGTGCCACTGCAGCAGCAGCAGCCACAGCAGCCCTTCTTCCAGCCTCAGCTGCAGCAACTGCATGCACAGCAGTATGGAAGGCTCCCTCAGCAGCTGCCGCCTCATCAAGGCTTGCCAAACTCGCTGCACTTCGGATCGCAGGCCTCACTGCAGCAGGTGCAGCCACCGCTTCAGCCTCAGCAGTCGTTAGCACAGCAGCGACTGCAGCAACAGTATGTGCAAGAGCAGCAAAAATTTCAGCAGATGCTCCGGCAGCAGCAGCTTATGCAGCAGCAACACCAGATGCAGCAGCATCTGCGCATGCAACCGCAGATTTCGATTGGCTTGCCGGCTGGGATGCATCAGCAATCCCAGGGGGTGCAGCAGCTGCAAGGCGTGCTGCCTGCTATGGCAGGGCAGCCGTTGCAGCAGCAGCAGCAGCAACCACCCTATTATCAGCTCGGCTTGCACTTGCACCAAGGGCAGCAGGAGCAGTTTTCTCCTATTCAGCAACAGCAGTCACCGGGAAAGCAGCATTGGAGCGGCCCTCCAGGGCATAAGGCGCAACAGCAGTGGCCTTTGCAGGCGTCGCGGTATCAGCTTTCTGGATCTCAGCTACCTCAGACGCAGCAGCAACCTCCTAGCCAACAGCAGCAGCAGCAGCAGCAGCAGCAGCATGGACCTATCAGCCGTAATCCCTTTGCGCAGCCACGCATCCGACTTTGTGCTGGAGGGGGGGAAAAAGCGATGGCCCCTCATCTGTGAGCATCTGCAGTTTACAGCATCTGCAGTTTAGAGCATCTGCAAGTTATAGCATCTGCTGTGGCAATACCAGGGAGACACGCCTGCGGCGCCAAGAAGCAGAGTTCAGAGGCACAGAAGACAGCGGGGCCTGCTGCAGTGCGGTGTTTTGTGACGATTGCATGTCTCGTGCACATATTGAGTTCGGCATAATAGAAGCCATCTAGAAGTGCTTTAGTGTCGATACTTTGTTACACAGCATTAGGAAAGGAGTCTGTGGCTACTACTGCTACTGTGGCACGATTAGGAGCAGCAACAGGCTCTTGCAAGAACTTCATCTCCAGGCGCTATAAGCAAGTCAAGCCCGCGCGCCGCTACTCTCGTGATGCAGCTGCACCTGCTGCAACCTCTGCTACGCCAAATTGGCATGTAGTGCTAGGAGAATTCGAGAGAGAGAGAGAGAAAAAGAGGGATAGAGAAATAGAGAGAGAGAGAGATAGAGGGATAGAGAAATAGAGAGAGAGAGAGAAATAGAGGGATAGAGAATTCGAGAGAGAGAGAGAGAAAAAGAGGGATAGAGAAATCGAGAGAGAGAGAGACACGCTGTAATCAAGCTACAGAGGCGCGCCAGCCGTGTAGACTCGGCATGGCGGCCTAGGATACATCAAGATTCGAGGCAGAAAACGCAAGGGCAGTGATGGCATCTTCAAGTTGCATCAGAGGCACGAAGCTGCTGCCCGTTGAGCCTAGACACAGCTGAGCCCCTGCAATGCTGTGGGTGCTCCCCTGTCGTCCTCCTGCTGCATCAGAAAGAGGCAGCAACATAGAGAGTTTTGACTGCATAGCCAGGTGGAGTGACGAGGGACGAGGGCGCTAGAAAGAGTCTAGTGACATTCGGAAACTCACCTTTTCTTCGTCATCTCTCTCGTGGAGCCCACCACCACCCTTTCTGTCTGTCGCTGCCGCTCCAGGATCTGCTGCTGCTGCCGCATGCGCCTGCAGGATGCGTGCTGCTGCTGCTGCATCCAGGGCCTCTTCGCATCGCCGCTGCCAAACCTGATGGCGCAGCCGAGAAAACTCCTGACTCAAATCTGATGGCCCTCCTGTAATGCCGTACACTGCAACCTGAAACCGCATCGGCAGCCAAAGGCGAAGGGCTTTTTTCCCGATGAGCAGTGTCACCGACAGAGACAACTCCGTAAATCCCTTGTACTGACAACACCTCGCCTGGGCTTATCGCCTGTTCAGCCACGGCAAGCAACCGCGGCACGCTGGTCAGGGGCTTTTCAACACTCTGTACTGCTGCAGAATGCCGCATACTTGTCCTTGAACTGCAGCCATCAGGATGCCTGAGACGGCCGCCGATGAGACGTCTTCTTCTGGGAGCTCCTCTTCCTCTTGCTGCTGCTGCTCTTCGACCGGTGGCTTGCTGGCAGGCCTGACCGCAAAAGAGCTAATGATGCTGTGCTGCACTTGAGGTGCCATTGCGATTGCGGCAGGCTGCAAGTGGACTGCTGCTGCCTGCTGCTGCGGCTGCTGCTGCGGTTGCTGCTGCTTCTTGGGGCGTGGGGGCACCGGAGACGCACAGCACACATCGAGTGTCAAGGGAGGATGCTGCACTGTCTCTAGGCCGAACAAGTGAAACGCGTTGCGGCTGCAAGGGCAGGTGTTGCTAGAGTTGCTGCTCGAAGCGGCACCGCCTCCTCCGGTACAAGCCTGCTCTAGTCCAGACGGCAAAAAATATGTCCTGCAGTCAAGTAGCATTCACGGCACACGCCGGGCGGAATAGCGAGCGTGTGTTCTCTCATGTTTAACCCGAAATTGGGAAAGCGGATGGACCGCCAAGAAGCATTAAGAGAAAGCAGGCGGCCACTACACGATTGAGCAGAGATCGAAAAAAGGGGCTGGCAAGGACTCATCAAGCTCCCGTTGCGGGCGTTTTCCTAGTAGAGGGGTAAGGACGAGGCGCGGAGATGAAAGGGCAAATGCACACTAGAATAGAGCACAGCATAAGAGGAAAGCAACAGGGAGGGGGAGGCAGGCGGCGTGAGGGGAGGAGGCAATAACAATCACCAACCACCCTAGAAAGGACAGCGGGGCTGACGAGGACTACGCTTGCGCACCAGTATACACATGCCGATACAGCAGCAGAACAAAGCAAAGAGCGACAAGCAAAGTGGGGAGGGAGGAGTTGCCAGGAGTGCACAGTGGGAAAGTAGGAACAGTGGAGAACAAATCACAGAAAAACGCACACACAAGCGTTCACGCACCGGATCTGATGTCGGTTTCCGCCGCAACACGCGGCTACCCTTCCCTCTGGAAGCACTGCAACTCTGCAACAGTAAAATTGCGTCGTCAGAACCCCCTCATCGAGCGGAGCCTTGCTTATGAGGGTATTGTTGCCGTCTCCATCTCCCAAAGGAGTGGGTAGCAGCCGGGGGGCCTCTGGAGAAGGTCCTGAAGGGCCACAGATGCACGCCATATTTGCATCCAAAACCTGCACACACACACATATATATATGTATTTCGGAAGCAACAATCATGTATATGACTGTGTGTGTGTGTATATGCACTTGTCTATCTATTTGTCGAAGCCAAAGAACGGGTGGCTCCGTATTACGCCTGCAAGCCTGGGATCTATCTTGTGCGTGCTGCGATTGGTGTTGCTGTTGCAGCGCCTGCGCCTTCTGCGGCCACCTTTGAGTGGGCTTGCTTGTATGGCGTGTTAGGTGTAGTCTTGCGTGGGGGGGGACGGGGGTAGCCGGTTAGGCAAAGTTAGGCAACCTTAAAGCCTGAAGCTAGCGTATGGCTGCCAATGGTGGCTACTTACCTGCTGCACCTCAAACTCGGGAAGCTTCAGGATCATCAGCTGTCGTTCATCTCGGTGTGAAGCCACCAGCGCGGCCGAAGGGGAGAGGAGCACTACGGACTCCCTGCAGCAGCACTAGCAATTGCACCCGACACACGCCTCGCGCTTTCAGACTCATTGAATGTCGGAGCACCTCCGACAGTGGAGAGCTGACCGGCAGCGACAGCGCACTAAAATATGCGTAAAGGAACGCAAGCCGCAGGCGCAGCCATGAACGGACCCTAAAGGCGAGCACTCTGCAGTCCCCCCCACTGAGAGCTGTCTCTCGGTGCTCCACAGCTGCGAAAACATTGCAGAACAGAGCATGCAGCCAGTATCCACGCCACAATCCCAGAAACGCGTGCAAAGGCATGAAACTCCGGGGAAGGCCCAGCAACCGGCCGACCTGAATGGTAGAATCGACTCCACAGGAGATGATCGTGTGTTTTGTCAGCAGCTTTGGAACCTGCTGCTTCCTGTTGCTTTTCACAAAGTCTTTGTCCTCTGGTAAGAACAAGACCTGAAGGCATTCGAGCACGAAAAGCTTGCAATGAGTCCAAGTTTACTGAAAGTGCCTTGCCATACCACTCTTGGGCAGGCCCCACCCTCGGAAACCCCGGCAGAAAGTGCACCCAATGACTGTCGGCGAAGTAATTCTTCTAGCCAAACCATGGAGAAATGAAACGAGCACCAGCAAAGCACCTGCACGATTCGGTTGCCATGCGCATGGTGTTCAGATGACCCCACACAAAGAGCCAGTGGGTGCCTTGGTACTGCCGCAGGAGCCCTCTGAGAGGTCACTCCGCTGCTTTGCGTTGTTGCTGGATTTGCTGTGGATAATCCGGGACCATGCGGTGCAACTGCTACGGGAGCAGCTGCCGCCCCAGGCGACGTCTGCGATGTGGATGCTGTCGCTGGCTGAGGTTTGCGGACTGCAGACGCAGCACCAGCACCTCCTGCAGGCGCAGCCGCACGGGGAGCAGGTGGAGCACCAAGGGCATGAGGGGCCCCCCCCCTTGCCACGGTAGCTGCAGTCCCTCCGGCTCTTGGTACGCGCTGTACTGCAGTGCGTTCTGGCGCCGTTGGTCTTAGTCCGGCTGTTGCATTCGTCAGATTGGGAGGGCTGGACAGAGCGAGGGGGTCCTGCTGCTGTTGTGCGCGGGCTGAAACACCCACTGCCTGGGTGGTAGTAGTAGTAGGTGCGTTACCCCCAGCAACAGCAGCTCTCAGTGTACGAGCGAGCAGGGGGTTTTCTGGGGATGCCCTACTCAGGGAGTGAATCAAGTGTTTTGTTGCTGTATCAAACACGTAGACTGTGCGGCCCCTGCCTGCAGCGGCAAAGGCGTCGCCGCGGCTGCTGAAGGCGCAGCACAGCAGCTGCTCTTGAGGGATTTCCTCCCTCCATACTTCCGCAATGGTATAGTGCACCGATGGAACGAAAGCAGCAGGAGGACTTTCGGGTGTTGGTGGTACTGCTGGTGCTTCTGGTCCTGGGGAACTTTTGAGGAGACGCACAGGAATCACTTCGTCAACGAAGAACGGTACGATTCCTCGTGTGGGGTGGTCATTTGGAAGTGGGGTTTCTTTAGCCGGGGGTGGGGGTTCAGGTGCAGCAGGTGTGATGGGAGGCTCAGCAGCAGACGGTATTGCAGTGACGAGGCATTGTACTATCTGACCTGCCCCTGTGGTGGCTAGCAACAGCAAAGAGTACCCCAGGGCCTTCCCCTCCTCTGAGAAGAGCTGCGGCGCAGCCGAGGGTTCCCAGGCGACGCAAGTCACTGGAGCTATCTGCTTGCCTTCCGACAGCTTCCTGCGTGTCACCCAGCCTGACCCCGTAACAGCGACAGCAGCAGGTGCGGGAGAAGAAGCAGCAGCAAGGGTGCAGGCTTCAGGGTGCGCTCCCGAAGCATTTGGAACTGCCGCCAACCGCAGGTAACCATCGCTACAGCCGCAAGCAGCTACAACCCTGCACGGACTGATGCGTAGAGAGACTATACTGTAGCAGTTGCGGCCTTCTTTTGGCCCTGAGGGGCACCCTGAGCCTGCAGGCATCTCTCCACCTGGAGGAGGCAGGAGGGTTTGAGACCTCGGGACGGGAAGCTCCGGCTCATCAGAGCCGTAAACAAATAGTGGAATTAGCCTCATTTCGGTAGCGACAACAGCAGCCACTCGCCTTGGCACACCACCTCAAGAGCAGCACAGCAACACCTGTCACACTCGGCTCGTTGCACGCCGATTTGGGGTTGCTTGTCCGTTTTCTCCCTTGATTCGTGAGCCTCACTGCCAAGAAGCCTCTAGACGTATAATAGAGGAGCCTCTCTTCAAAGGGGCGTACCAATAAGTACTCGTCGTGCAGCGGGGTCACCCGGGCTAGAGGGCGGCCTCTCAGCAGAAGCCTTTTATCAAGAGCCCATGGAGTCTTTGATAAAAGTTCGCCCCTTATATCGCTATACCCTTCATAATCAATGAAGATGAAATCGCATGCATGCGCGGCAACGGGCCACTCGCAACACACTGCGCATGGGGGCCACCAGCCACGGAGCCCCCTACCCTACACCATTGAGCCGTCATCTGAACCCTATGGAGAGCGAGACTCAACCCGATCTAACGACTGAAACTGCGTAGCCTACATTTAAAAAGCCTGAACCGACTTCGGATGCGGTGAGGTCCAGCGCCCTGCTAGCGCGCGACCGCCCCTCTGTCGTGCGGGTGACAAACAACGCATGTGCGGCTGCTGCTTGCCCTATTTTCTGCTGGCAGATCCAACATCAGCCCATGCTGCGACTGCTGCGCCACATGGAGAAGTTCTGCAGCTTCACTGCAGGGCAGCTCTCCGCCACATACTTAAGCCTGGGGGCCTTGCAACAGTCCACCGTAAAGGCTTTGTTGACGATTTGTAGCCGTTTAATGACCCGCGAAGAAAGAGAAAAGGGCGTCGAGCCTAATAAACCACGCTCTAGGGAACTGCGAGCTCTTAAGTGCCAGGCGGGAAACTGCGTATGTGTACTTAGATGCGGGTCTAGGGCAAGCTAGATGCCTGCCCAAACGCACTCAAACACCTAGAGCGGCTTCCTGTAAACACTTTGGAAGCTACACCTAATGACGCCCTTTTCGAGCCCTATGTCCACAAAGAAATGTACAAATAATGCTGCACTCATGCACGGGAACGTCGTGTCAGCCGCACGCCACACGCGCCACTATAAGCTGTATCGTGCCTCTAGGGTCTCTAAGCGCTAGGCTATTCCGCCGAACTACTCAGGGGGGGAGGCCTAGTAGATATCCGGCAGTTTCGGAACGGCATATAGGGGCTGACACCTGAAACGAAGCTCTGCTTTTGACCTGCAAAATGCAAAGGTCAAGACCACGGGCTCCTTTACGCCTTCTCTAATTCAAATGCCATAAGACCCCTTGCGCAACGAATTCTACGGCACCGAGAGAAGTGCTGTACCCCCAACGGGGACGGCTGGCACCTCAGTTTGCTAATCTCGAGGCCGACGCCTAATATGCCCCCTGCACATATATATATATATATATATATATATATATATATATATATATATATATATATATACATATTTATATGCACCCTGCATCTACGTTTTTGCACCAGCCACTGACTGTCGCATCTTTGCGCAAGGAAGCTCCTGAATACCGATGCTTGGCCAGAGGCAAGCGTCGCTTTGCTGAGCACCGCCTGCCTATGCATGCGTGCTTGGCTGTCACTTCATGCCCCCCCTACTTCGCATGTGAACCATTTAGACAAACTGTCTCTTCCTCTCGGCCCCTGTGTGTGCCCCCTCGCCGTTCTAACTGCTGCCTCTTAGGACGCACAAAAGGGACGAATGACGGTATATGGCTGCTACTTGGAAGGAAGTCTCGGTAAAGTCATGGGCAGAATGGAATGCGGGGTTCAGCTGCGCTGTCACCTTGATGGACAGCAAACTAAACCCTAAAAAGTGAGCAGCTGGTGGCCATAAGAGGAGCATACTCCGCACAGTTAAGAGCAAAGCGAGCGGTGCAGCACGCTGCCGCCGTTTTTTTGCTCCTGCTGCCTACGCAGCACAAGAAAGAGTGGCTCCTCCTCGCCCCTTCCCGCCACATCGTGAGCCTTCCTGCTTCTGAACCCTCTTCACTCTGTCCTCACTCTGCCCCAAAACGCCGAACGGCTTGAATTTTTATCCTCCATTCCCAGGACAGAAATAGGGCTTGTTGAGTAGGGAGGCACCCACGCGAACGCCTTGTAACCTTCGTCGCATGCGCGCATCCCGCTGAATGAATGCGAACTCGAAGAGGGATGCCGAGTGGAGGGGGCTGGCGGGGGGGGGAAGTCAAGGGGCAGAAAGAACGTCAGAGGAGTTTCTGTCTCAAGGATATAGAAGAGCTCGACGTGAGGGACGTAACTGAACGTCGCCAACGCGTTCCCTCCCTTCCTCACGAACAGAAGGGCCAAATTCCAAAGCGCCTCTGCTGCTGCTGCTGCTGCTGCTGCTGCTGCAGAATCGCTGGCTGCATGGCATGATCGGCACGCGACGGCCAATAATAATCTTTCGCCGGTGAGTGTGGCTGCCACTGAAATTACAACACAAAGTTGCCAGCCTCATAAGCGGCCTTCTCGTAATAGCGCACCTTGATCTGCCTTCCCCCGAACCACCTGCCATGAAGCTGTGGCGCAGCTGCAGCCGCTGCTCCCGCCTCCTTGAATGCCACAAAGATGCGAACGTCGCCCTTAATGATCTCGACTTGGACAGCATCTACGTCTCCGAAGCGGCGGCACTCCTCCCTCATCTGGAACCCCCATAAACACAAAAAACACGAATAGGCATACGCTTGACCATCTCAGGAAACGCGTTAACTGGGGTTCCCTCCGAAGACTGCCCCCTCCCCTTCCCTTCCCTCCCCTTCCACGCAATCCAAAAATCACACTTTTTTGCACCAGCGAGATTCTAGGGGAGCGGAGGCAGTGGCGCGCAAGCAGCAAGAATCAGATTGCCACCCGAAAAGCGCCTATCAACTCAACGCTACAGAGCCAACATGACGGGCAACGCGGGGAGGAGAGGCGCGTAGAGGGAGTGCAACGAGCCACGAGCTGCCCACTCTAGAGGTACTGCGGAGAATACTAGACACAGGGGCCTACTTCTTCTTTGAGATCGTCATCGACCTCCTCTGGAGCAACCGTGTTGGTCAGCAGCAAGACACTGCTGCTGCCAGGCTCCCCACTCGGCTTTTCTGGGAACGGGGAAGAGGACGCAGCTGCCGCCTCTCCAGTGCCTGTTTGCTGCTGCTGCTGCTCGGCAGCAGCGGGAGATGGCGAGGGAGCAGCTGCAGGGGGAACTACTGCAGAAGGCGGCCCTAAGGGAGATGCTGGAGGAGCTGGCTGAAAGCCTAGAGGCACAGTGTTTGCCCCCGTGCCGCCTTGCATCACAGGCGCTGCGCTGCCCTCTATAGATCCAGGAGTGCCGCTTCCAGCCATTAGGGGAGTCAGCTGAGCGCCCATGCCGACTCCCAGGCTGCCTGCCACTGCAGCGCTTCTGAGGGCTGTCGCGTAGTTGACTTTCAGCTGCTTTCCTGAGGGAGACACACGCCCACAGACGTTCTTCGTTTTTCGCGAAGGCGTGTCGATAGGCGTCTAGACGGCCAAGGCGCGCAGGCGCATGCTGCGACTGCCGCCTCGAGCGACACACACCCCAAAAAAGCCAACACGCGGCACGACAGAGAAGGGTGCCATCATGTCCACCCTACCCACCCCTCTGCACACAGATCCAAGACATGGAGTTTAAAGACCCGACGTCAGTGCACATACAGAGGGTGACGCAAGCACACACACGAAGCATTCGCCAGCACGCTTCCCGCGCAACCCCTCTTTTCTCCACACAAAGTCTAAAGGCCTCCCGAGCTGTACTGTACCCCCCCTTTACTGCAACTCCGTCGAATGCCAACATCCCCAGCCATCCATGCAATGAGCTGGCACCCTACGCCGCCCTAAGGCACGCGTGAGAGGTCCAGCAGTCAACACAGAAAAAACTGACGGTGTGCCAGCGAAGCTGCTGCTTGTCGTCCAGTCCTCACCCCAACACTTACCCACAACCTCGAATCCGTTCATCGTGTCGATGGCGAGTTTTGCAGCGTCTGGCGAAGCGAACTCAATGAAGCCATATCCCCTGTGCTGCTGGGGATTCTCCTGAGACGGCAGGAGCTGGCAAGTCAGGATGGACCCGAAGCAAACGAATATCTTCTGCGCACAAAAAAACAAAAGTGCCTCAACAACACGCCTCTGAGAAGGGACGGCCGCACTCACAAGAGGCCAATAGCGCCTCAGGCGAAATACAGCCATACTTCCATACATATAGACACATCTGCCGTTGAGATGTATACACACACATATATATATATATATGCATATATGTGTATGTAGTATATATATGAAGGCGGAGGAGAAATCGCCATGTCAAGCATGAACGATCGTGCAAATACAAATCAGTTTCCGCACAGGAAATCCACCGACATGCGCCAGAAGAAGAAAGAGAACCGTACAGATACGCCCACATAGACGCAAAGGCAGCACACACCACAGCAGGCAGCATAACACAGAGGCACCAAGGAGAGGGGATTCCTGTTGAGTATCCTGGCACTGGACTGCTCCCGACTGACCTTCAAGTCTTCGGAAGAAAAGCCGAAGGGAACGTTCCCCACGTAGATGCGATTGCTGCCTGGCTGCGCCTCCTGCTGCTTCTCTGGCGTCAACTGACCCAAGCTCACGATGCTGGCTGCAAATCGAACAAATCGCACATCGTTTTTCTGGCTTTTCCGCAGATGAAGCTGCTTCCTTGACGCTACCGCTACTCAGAGTCACTGAGTCTTTTAAAAAGAAATGAGAAAAGAGGACTAGCCACGCACCCATGTCGCCTTGAGGGGTCTGACCAGCACGTCCTGCCAAAATGGCCGTTGCTGCTGCAGCGCCAGCTTGAGCGCTGCTCACCAGTGACATGTTGGGCGCTGTAGGCATGCACATATATATATATGCAAATTTTCGCAAACACATGCAAATCTGCATGCAAATACATGTAGCTATGTATCTATCTACGCGCATGGAGAAGAAAATCCTATTCAGTCGCTTGTTCGGGGTTGCCGGGGATCTCATGTTCGAGCTACTCTTCTTCTGATCAGCGAAGAGCAGTGGTTCCGACGACAAAAAAGGAATGAAGGGAAACGGAGAACTCACTGGCAGCAGCACCCCCCCCCATATTCATCTCGTAGCCACCCACTGCGACACACAGTCCAAAGCACACGCAACACGAAGCCACCCAGATGCCTTCACGCATGCAGAACGCATTTCCAGCCTCCTCCACACATGCCGCTCGGTGTGCAACAGCTGAACGCCAGTCGAACGAAGACTGCAGGACGACTACGCATGCAACGGCTAACAGCCTCCCCCATCCAGCAGTTCAACCTCTACGCCGCGAGCACTCAGAGCGAGATAAAGAAAAAAACAAACGTACGAGGTCGTGCAAGAAGCTGCTGCGGCTGTCCAGCGCCAACTGCCGTTGGACGTCCAACCTTGATGGTTCTGAAAGCAGTACGTACACCGCACAGTGCATGCATCTTTCTCCTTTCTCTGCCTTCCTTTCACAGCGTTTGAAGGCGAGCTGCCAGAAAGGCGCGAAGAAGAAGAGATACATCGCGACTACGACCCCGCCACGACAAACGCAAACCCCCAGAATGTCTGAGCTGTCTCGGCTGTCGCAGTTCTGCGCGCGCAAAAAGTGCCCCTCAATCAGAGGAAGCTCATGCTCTCGTCGCTACGCCGACACGCCACACACGCCGAAATCGAAGGCCTACTACACCCTAGAGCAAGCCAGAGGAAGGACAGTAACATTTTGCATGCATGCATGCACATACTCCGCCGCAAACCGGCGACACAACACCCAGCGCGTGCTGGGAGCAACAAGCGCCCCCCTCCCCACACGTATTCGCATCAGAGAGCAGAGTAACCGGCACAAAAAAGCGAACATGCGCGAGTATGTGCATGTATATGCTTATATACAAAGGCACATAGACCAATCTCTGCTACTCTAAAGAGCGACCCCTAGAGACGCAACAACGCATGCAGGAGAAGACAACATCCACGCGCACTCTTACAAGCCAGCACTACTGGTGCAGGCAGACAAGGAACTTCACAAGGCAGCAACCCCGTGAATCAACAGGCGCATCCTGGTAATTGTATCACGCCATAGCTTCATGGCCGCATGCGAAACACAGCACCACGCAGGCACACACAAACACACAAATTCCACACACACACACACAGAGCAAATTCCACACACACACACACAGAGAGAGAGCAAATTCCACACACACACACACAGAGAGCAAATTCCACACACACACACACACAGCAAGCAAGCACAGCAATCACAGCAAACACCAAGAGGGTCTTGATGCAGTCAGCTGCTGCGACTCACGTCTGCAGGCACGCAGCAGCAGCAGCAGCAGCAGTGGCAAGCACACAAACAGCCACCGCACAAGGCATTCCACAACACACAAGACGCGCAGAGGCGCATGAAGCGAGGTGTCCACCGGATGCAAAACAGACAGAGAGACAGAGAGAAAGATGCCTTTTCCCCCTCCCCCAAATTTCCTCGCAGAGACAACAGCCCACGCTGCCGAGCGCAGCATTGAGAGGAAGCAAGACGACGACGTTTGCCATGCAGGTATCCTCTGCACTGGCTGCGCGCTTCAAACATTGCTCTAAAGCGCTTCCCTCTTGCTCGAAAAGCTCCTATCTTTCTTCGAGCCGCTCCCGCGAGCCATGCAGCGACCGGAGAAGATGCAAAAAAGACGACGATCGTGCAGTCGCCAGTTCTCACCTTCCCTTGAGCACAAAGTTGTGCATGGTGCTGAGAGCCATCTGAGCAGCTTCCGGGGAGGCGTATTCGACGAAGCAGAAGCCTTTGGAGCGATCCCCTTCCTTAGGCATATCCACGGAGGTGACTGTTCCGAAAGCCTACAAGGCAGCACATGTACACCGCGTGGATGTATCTGGTTAACGGGAGCGTATTGCGCGCTTCTTTTGCATGCGCTTCGAACCCTCGCGACTCCGCCCTTCCCCCTAGAACCTCATTCCCTTCACCTGCACCTGTCTCCCGCATGCAATTCATCCCGAAAAACGCCCATCGCCGCCACCTCTGGCTAATGCTTTGTTTGCGCCTTCCAGCGCAACGGCTTGCACCACACATTTCGCCCAAAGTGCCCCCACTCTGGGCGAGAAACGCACCTGGAAGACAGACTTGATCTCCAGCTCCGTCAGATAGTAGTCTAAAGATCCAACATAGATGCGGCACATCTGCAGCAGGAAAACCCACGCCAGGCAGCACAGGGAGGCAGCACCGACCAAGCGTGTTCTCCTTGTCGCTGTCGCGACTGCACGAATCTCCTTGCAGCCGAAGGGAGGAGGCAGAGAGGAGACGACTTACCGAGGGGTGAGGTGCCTGAGGAGATCGTCCAGAGATCCCCATACCCACCGCTGTCATTGCCGGGGTGTACATCGCTCCTGCGGCAGACATAGGAAGCCCTAGGAATGCCATGCAGGCAGCCAAGGCATGCGCAACGGAGAACAATGAAGCAGCGCCAACAGCTCTACAAGAGGAGGGCAGAGAGCGCATCAGCCCAAGGCAGCTGCTGTAACATACATGTATATGTATAAATATATATAAATATATATATACATGTAGATATATACATATAGATATACATATGTATAGGTACATATAGATGTACATATGTGTAGGTACATACAGACATACATATGTGTAGGTACATATAGATATACATATGTATAGGTAGGAAGGGGAAAAGCCTGGCAGGCTTAGCTGGAGAAAATGACGAACCAGAGTTAATTCGGGAAGCCGCAGCTGCTGCAATGGCAGCCGCTGCCGCTGGATCTGCTGGATTCGCTGGCTCGCCCCCCCCGCCAACATCCCATCCTGTTCTGCGCTTACGCCGCCGCTGCACGAGAATCGTACACCGCAAACAAAGCGGGAAAACTTCAAAAAAGCTCGCAGACAGAGAGCTGCCTGACTGCACCACAATGAATAGGCGGGGCAGCATCCGCCTCGTCTGCCTGCGAGAAGACTCTGTCTCACATCACACGGAAAAACTTCTGCAGGGAACCCTAGAGGCTCTGGCAGCTACCAGAGCTGCTGCTCCATGCATGGCAGCAGAAGGGGCAATGTTTTTACCTCTTCCCTTGCTTCCGATGTACGTGGCTCGGAAGAGGGGGCTTCTGACACCCGCGAATCTCTCCCTCGACTCCTGCTGCGACTCCTGCTGCCTGGCATCTTCGGTGCTGCTGCTGGCAAGCGCGCAAGCAAGCCTGCTAATGCTGGTTCTGATCTCGAGAGCGGTCAGCCTCTGCGGCTGCAAGCGCGTTCCGTCCAATAATACGAAGGCGTTCCTCTTGAAATGGCAGACACGGCACAGCGCTGGCGTGCTGCTGATGATGATGAGCGGGGGAACGGGCCTGATGGTGCTGCTGCTGCTGTTGTTGTAACAAAACGCCGTAAGTCGAGTGCCCACAGCGATTTTGCGCTGACAAGCGCAATTAGGAGGCCTTTAATCCTGCAAAAAATGTCGTTTAAGAGGAAACTCACCCTCGGTTCACGCCGCTGCTGCTGCCGAGGCTGCTGCTGCTGAGGCGGCGGGGCAGCACGCGTTCGTAGAGAGGGACTTATTGCGTGCTGCTGATGCTACAGAGAGACAGTAAAGCGGGAAAAGCCGGGATTTTATGAAACTCCCTTGGCGAATAAACTGTAGTTGGAGCTCCTGCTACGGCCGTTGCCGCTGTTTTCGCACCTCGCGGACTGCCCGCAGCTCACGCCAGTGGCAGGCAGCAGCAGCAGCGAGAGGCGCAGCAGTACAGCAGAGAGAGGCGCAGGGAGGGAGGGATGCCAGAGCAGCCGTCGGTGCTCTGGAAGTATTTAAAAAATTAGTCAGACACAAATTGTGTTCCAACTTTCTTTTAAAGCGCACTCTATTAATTACTTCGAAGGTTGTGCGGCGCCCAAGCAGTCGGAGTTCCCGCAGAAGCAGCCGGTCTCTGCGTGGGGTTGTGTCGGTCAGGTGGTGGTGTACATACACTCCAGTGGCGGCGGCGGCTGCTGGTGGCAAGTGCGGTTGCATGCACCGCCGTGGTAGACGCATGCAGGGAAAAATCTCGCTAATTTTTTGGTAGTGCAGTAGGAATTCGAGCTAGCCATTTACGCAGAACATGTATTAAACTTTATAGGGCAAAAAGCCTTTGTCTGTAGGGGTAATTTCGTCTTCGATTGGCCTCCGCATTTGTCGGTCCCCCGTCCTCTCTGAAGGAAGCCGATTCGGATGGCATATATATATATATTATTATAGCCACAGGTTCCTGTTTGTCCATGTTGCGCACACCTCGTCCGCAGCTGCTGCGGACGGAGCCATAACACGGGCTTTGGCTACAGGAAACTAGAAACGGTGGTCGACGTTGGAGCCGTCCATCCGCCTCCCTCCCTTGCTCTCTCCCCCTTCCGCCTCCATGTAGGTGGAATATGATTCAAGGTCATGGAAGAGTTGCCGCAGGCAGCCCCTTCTGCTGCTGCGGGAACGGGTGGCAGTGAGCACCAGCAGCAGCAGGAGTATCTCCAGCGCGAAATTGAGAGTACAGCGCAGCAGCTAGCAGAGCTGCAGGAGCAGCACCAAACCCTAAAGCAGCTGCTGCAGCAATGCGTGTCAGACGCCGAAAGGGCAGAGCTGGCCGATGCTGCCGCAGCAACAGCAGCAGCAGTAGCAGACACCGCGTCTGCGCTAGAACTAATGCGAACCTCTCTTGTGGAAACTCGCAAGCTGCAAGTGCATCATCTGCTGCTGAGCTTGCAGCACGAGCAGCGCCAGCAGAAATCCGCAGATGACGGCAGCACCAGCGACTCTGCGATGAGCGTCTCTGATGGCGAACTAAGCATCGAGAGCGGAGAAGATACAGCTCCCAAGAGCAGAAACAGCACCAACGGCCTGAGCGGCAGCAGCCACGGCAAGACACCACCCAGTGGACGAGAAGGCAGCTTGTGTGTCTTTGCGTCTCTCCAAACAAACGGCAGGGATGGGCTGCAGTATGGCAGAGTGAGGGCAGCCGTGAAGGGTACACCTTTCCTGCAGCAGTTACTCCAGGGAACCTCCACCAGCACCAGCACTAGCAGCAAAAGCGATGGATCTTCGGATATCTGTGAGGCTTTGCCAGCGGGAGGGTGTGAGCTGCGTACTGCGCTGCTTTTGCACGAACAGAAGGAGCAAAGACAGAGCCAGCAGCTGCTGCTGCAGCAGCAAGAGCCGCAAAAACTGCCTCTGCTGCTGCTGATAGTTCCAGCCTGCCCTGAGGCTCTGCGTGAAGCACCTTGCCGTCACATTTTGGAGGCAACCGAAGCGGCTGCAGCTGCTTTTCAGGCGGCAGCAGCAGCTGCGCAGCAACAGAAAGTGCAGGAGCCACACGGTAGAGAATGCGGCAGTCAGCGTGAGGCTGCAGCAGCAGCAGGTCTGCAGCTGGAAGTCGATGGCGCAGCAGCAGCTGCTGCTGCTGCGGCAGCAACGACTCCTGCGGGGACGGTATCTCTGGACGAGCTTCGGGAGAGCTGCCCCTTCAACAGCCGCTGCGGCTGGTGCCACGGTGTGCTGCTCCCTCCCGCTGCAGTCACCTTAGTGCAATTCAGTGCGCACAAGATCATCGAGCAGCAGCAACAACTGCAACGGCAACAGCAGCAGCAAGAGGAGGGCTGTCTTGTACGGGGTAGCAGGGTGATCGTTAGGCTAAGACGCCAGCAGTGGCAGCCAGGCTCCCTGCGGCAGCTGCTGCGCAAGCGCAAGCACTCAGCAGCAAAGGAGACTGAAGTCTCTGCGGATGTGCTTCCCCTCTCCGCAGCTTCTGCGCAGAAGCAGAGTGGCAAGCAACACCAGAAGCAACAACTTCAGCAACAGGAGTACTCGTGGTTCGCACGCGTCTTGCTGGATGGCGCAGCAAGCAGCAGCAGTTGCAATCCCGAAGGAGCAGCCGATCGCAAAGGGAGGCTTCACGTTTGCAGAGCGCAACATCTGGTGCCTTCACTTATACAGCGGCAAGGACAGGAAGGGCAAGAAGAATCGGGTGTACAGACACCTTCTGCGCGGCGAAGCGCACTCAGGAGCAGCAGCAGCGCTGGTAGCAGCAGCAGCAGCAGCAGCAGCAGCGAGTCGGAGGTTGCAATAGAAACAGACGGCAGCAATGGAGACGTCTCTGACGGCGAGAAGATGCATCAGCAGCGCAAAGTGCAGCGGCTGCAGCAGTTGCTGGGGAAGCCCGCAGCAACTGCCGCAGCACAAATGCTGCGACGAGCACCACGTTGCCACAAGACAAGTTGGTGGCAGCCACTGCGGAGCACTAACCCTAACTCTGCTGCAGCAGCGGGTGCAGCAAACAGCAGCAGCAAGAAAAATTGCTGCCCCTTGAGCAGCAGCAGCTACTTTGGCGTCTGGATGCTGCATACGAGTGGCGTCGGTCTGCGCATCATGGAGCGCCTCGGGTACAAGCTGGGGGAATGCTTGGGGAAAAGGCAACGACTGCTTCAGCAGCAGCAGCAGAAAGAAGGAAGTGAAGGGCTAGAGCAAGGTTTAAGCGCGGAGAAAGACTCTTTCTTGCTGAATCCACTTCCCATCGAGTCAGCCGAATTCATTTTTGCGGCCAGCGCCGTGCTGCTGCTGCTGCTGTTGGGTGTGTATTTGTGGGTGTTGTTCGCCCATTGCGTCTGCGCGGTGCAGCAGCTGTTGCATGCATTCCCTCTGCCTCGGATGTGCTGATACTGGTGCTGCAGGATACTGCCATCTGGGTATTCGCTGGATTACATTCGCTGCCCCCGTGTAAGGCGCGCAGCAGCAGCAAAAGAAGCTGCAAAAGCAGCTGCCGCTGCAGTTGCAGAAGAAGGAGATGGAGCATTCCGTCTGATTCGAGGGGTTGGTCAAGGGGCTGCTGCTGTCGCGAGTGCCGCTGCTGCTGCTGCCGCCGATGAGCGCAAGAAGCAGCAGCAACAGCAAGACTTACAGGTGCAGCAGCAGCTGCACAGGAAGTACAAAAAATCCGATGAGCAGCAGATGCGGCGCGAGCTGCTGCAGCTGCAACAGCAGGTGCAGCAGGTGCAGAGTGAACTGGAAGCTGCCGCAGCCAACTGCCGCAGACACCAGGGAACTGCCACGGAGGGCCATAGAGTGCACGAACATTATCAGCAGCAACACGCACAGCTGCAAGAACAAAAGCGACAGCTTCAGCAGCAGCAGAAACTGCTAGAGAGAATGCTGCCCACCAAAAAGACTAACAAGCTGTCGAAAATCTTCTGACAGAACCTATCTGCTGCCGTCCCCACTGCTGCTGCGTTTGCTGCTGTGGCTACTACTGCTGCTGCCCCTGCTACTATTGCTGCTGCTGCTACTGCATACCGTGTAGGGATAGCCGAGGGTCGAAGCGGAGGTACTCATGCGAGATCTCTGATCTTAGGTATCTGAGAGGGAGGTTCTGCACAGTGTTTGAGGCTTGGCGGCTCCTACTGAGCGCTGCAACATCCGTGAGGGATGTGTTTGGCAACAGCGGGAATAGCAGTACTATGAGCCATCGCTCAAAAAGCAGCAGAGGGGCGCAGAAGTCGTGCTCCCCGTAGTAGTAAACGTGGTCTCCCTTAGTCAGTTTGTTCGATGGCATAAAGAGACGCTCTTTTCTTTGTTCCTACACTTCTCCAGTGCTGCATGAGGTGAGCCCCCTACGTTGCGTGGTTTGCATGCCTGCATGCAGACCACGACTGGCGTCTGTGCTGCCAGTGCTGCAGTTCATGGCAGACTTGTGACAGGGGAGCGTGTGCACACGGGTGTCTCAACACACTGCCAAGCAGGTGAGGGTTTAGGGTGGAAAGAGAGCACTTTCCAGAGAGTCGAGACAAGTGCAGCAGCAAGGACGACCCTAGGCGGTCCCCGTGCTGTCGCTACAGATGCTTTTGCTTCTGCTAAGGGCCTGATGCGGCTGTGCATCTGGCACCTCAGCATCCAGAACGTCCACAGACACCTGATAAAAGCGGGGGTTGCTGGCGTCTTGCCGCAGCTGCGCCTCCACTGTGAGTGTCATTCCCGAGGGGGCATGCATCGGCTGAGGCAGCAGCAGCAGCAGCTGCTGCCAATGAGTTGGGGGTGCAAAGGGGCTGGTGCTCAGGGTGACTGCTTCTTTGCTGCCGGCTCTTGGGGGTTTTGCTGCGAAGGTTTCTGATGATGCAGCGGCGCGTGCCGCTGCAGCGGCTGCTGCCTGCTCGATTGGAGTGTAGCAGCTGCTGGCTGCCTTGGGTACAGCAGGTAGAACTGCGGCTTCAGCAGCAGCAAGGCGTGAGGCTGCAGTTGCCGAGGGATCTGAAGGCGGTACCCCCCTGTAGAGTGCAACGTCGGCGCTCGACTGCGTTCCATCGGCGACACTGCGACGCTCATCGTGCTCTGCTGCATGCGAGCTGCCGGGGAACGTTACGTCGAACCAGAAGGCGAAGCCGTGGACTGTGGCTTCCTGGTGCACATGAAGCTGCACCTGGCGCTTGATCTGCTGCAGCTGTTGCGGTGTGGCAGTATACAGGTCTAGCTCGGCGACGATCGCGGGGGGAGTGCAACAGCACGCCTTTGGAGGTAGCTGCAGCACGAGCGGTGTTTGGGCATGCTGCTGCAGGAGCTGCCGCTGCAGAGGGAGGAAGGAGAAGCCGCAGTAATCGTCGAGGAAGCCGACTTGCTGGTCATGAACCTCGCTGCAGGAGCACAGAGACACCAGGATGCGGGCTGCACAGGGCAGCAGAAGACCAGATTGAGGCTTTAAAAACATATCCCTGGCAAACAAGAGGGATTGCAGCATGCCTTCGTGGAGCAGGAAGAAGCCCATCCACTCCGACACGATGATATCCACTCCCTGCAACAGCTCCAACGGGAAGTCGGGGTGTACAGACAGCTCTTCCACCCTGCAGCAGAAGACTCGCACCACTCCTGGAGCCACCCGGCCCAACCGCTCGTTGTGTTGCAGCTGCCGCTGCAGCAGAGCAGCAGCTCCGCGACTGCCTTCAACGGCAAGAACGGAGGCAGCACCAGCAGCGGCAGCAAAAAACGAAAGGATTCCACTTCCCGCCCCCACATCCATGACAACTTTGCCCCTAAAGAGGGGAGCGAGCGAAGCAGTGGCAGCCGCATAGCTGCTCACGCGGTGCCAGTCGCGCAGCATTAACGCATGCACGCGAGGGTCGCTGTAGGCTCTAAAATAGTCCACGCTGCCGCTGCTTGGCATGCGCACAGGGGTAGAGGTGGGTGTTGGAGCGGCAGCGATGAGGGCAGGAGAATCTCCGTCGCCACTACTATTACCAGCAATAAAAGTCGTGCCCAGTTCTGCTGCTTCCGAATCCTGTGCATCACAGAGCGGCGGCACGGAGGCGCTGCTCGCCTCGTTGCAATCCTCAAGGACCATCGCGCAGTACCAACTCGGTGGCTTTGGCAACGCGCAGAGTCTCGAGCTCACAGCGAGCAAAAAACAGAATGCGATGGGGAAGAAGGCCTTACGTGGAGGCGCGCTTAGGCCTGATCCATCCAAACGAGTGCTGGAAGATCGCAGGCTGGAATTGCAGCTCTGCCATGCCCAACGTCTGAAGCGAGAACCCTTCACTAGGCTCCACAGGGCAGTGGCGAGTTGGGCAGAATCCACACATCCGAGCACCAATGTGCTGCTCTTCAAGGAGGAAAGCCTTTAAAAATCCGCAGGAAAGTGAGCCTTACGAACCGCGAGAAGCAGGGAAGAAGGAAGGAAAATCCACAAGAGGAAGGGGGGCGGGAGGAGGGGGCCCCTTCAGTGGGGCCCCTGGCCCCTTCCCTGGGGAACCGCGTGATGGGGAGAAAACATACGAAATCGACTCCCTCCTTTGGGCTTAAAATCGATCTTCTCGCGATTAAAACCCTGATGGAGGAGCTACACGTCGGGTATAGCATGGAAGGATGGACCTGCGGATGATACTCAGCGATCGGCTTATGTACATATACATATACATATGCATCTGCTTGCCGCGTGCAGCATGCTACTTCTCGGCTAGTCCTTGCAATAAAGTCTTCGTGTGTTGATGAGTGCAGCTCGACTTCTCCTGTCCTGGCGCTTGTGGCTGTATCCACTCTTTTGTGGGCCTGTTTCTACCCACTGGTTTTGCTCGTATCCGTTCTGCGACCTGTCTGCCTTCTCGCACACATGACTTTTTCCGCCGTATGATCTGCTAACTATAGCGCACCTCTCCTTCAGCGAGTCGTCATGAGAACGCTTTGTCCTCCCCCAATCCACCAATAGACGTAGTAGAGGTTCCACCGGTGTATCCCTCCCCAGAAAAGCCCCCTCCCCCATCTCTGTACCGTCAGTTCAAAGGCTTTGAGTAAATTTTGAGAAGGCTGTACCTCTCTAGTGCATGCGTGACTCCGCACCCTGCAGCTACTCCGAGCAGTGGCACCCAGTTGCCCACAACATTCCACAGAGCCCAGACAGGCAGCGTTCATTCTTATGAGACTGCGCTACCTAGCCATCTCTACTATGCAACAAATTGCCATGACCGAAACCGTGCAAAATATGCACTTTGTTAGCTGCTCAACCATAGCTCTGGGCCCGCTAGACGGCTACTGACACGGAAATTAACCACACAACTTGAATCGACGAGAAGCGCTCTTCTAGCAGATACCCGCCATCCCTGTGTAGGCTCTTGCACATTGTAGGAGCTCCACTCAGCAATGGGTGCACAGCAGTACGCAGTACTGCCACCAGCCGGACAAGACACCGCCTTAGAACTCGAGAACACGATGAAAGGGAAAGTGTAGCCGTGGGACCGCTAAATCTTTGGAGCCACCAGACAACGCGAAAGCAGTGACATCTTTGGCTGCTGCTCGGGGGGAGTGTCGCCCCCAGGGAGCAGCAAAAGAAATCCCAGCCAGTGGCGTTTCAAGCCCGTAGCATGACATGACCGGCAGTGTTCATAAAGGAGTTTTCCTGCATGAGTGAGCACTGCATCCATCCCACGACCCCCACCTCTCTTCTCGCATCTTCCCACATAACGAACCAACAACAGCCCCTTCGACAAAGCCAGGCACATGACGCAAGAGGATGCCTGGTCGTACAGTCACAGTGAGAAGGCGACCCGGCTGGCGATGCCTGCATTCGGCAAGCTTTTATTGTGGTGAAACGAAGTGAAGTAGGTCCTACAAGCCCCAGCAAACAATCAAGGAAATTCTTGCGTGGCTAGGGGATGTCCACCCATTTCTACGAAGACATAGATCCACAGAAAATTCAGAAAAATGACCATCTAAGGAATGAAGGCATTCGGAAAGCCTAGACTCTTTGTGGGGCTTCTGCGATGATATCGCCGTGGAGGACCTCTTCGAATCTATTCAACAGCTGCTATTTCCCCCCTCCCTTGCGGTTTGCATCTGGCCAGGCTCCCTAAGTAAGCCCAAACGAAGCGCCAATGAGTAGGGCATCCGAGCACTCTGTTGGTAACCGAAACTCTATCTATGCAAAGTCTAAAGGGCGCTGAGGCGCTCGAGATTTCTAGTTGTAAGGCCCAATGTATCGCTTGCTGTGCTGGCTGTACACGCTGACCTCTGTGACTCGGGAGTTTCGGCAGCGCGTTGGATGACAAAAACCTCTATACAGGCCCCAAGCTAGCTGCTTGAAGGTCTGCCTTTATATGGCCATGCACGAGCGGGCTTTTGATGTGGCGGTTCTCTTTATCTGCCGCTGAATGCGAAGGAGGGCAGCAGTAGGACTGACTGCGGGGTAATAGTTACTGTAGTGCTAGCCCCCTAAGGACGCGATACACCCTCTCGGAATCCGACATCTGTTTCATTTCTAGAAGCATCCACACTCCTCAAGAACCTAGTCAGGAAACGTTACCCTCGGTGGCTCTCTCACGGCTGCTCATCGAAGAGCAGACGACACGAAGCCCTAAGCCTTGCACACCTGACCTTCAACAGCAGCCGTCAGCACTAACGCAACGCACACCAATCGCGTATGCGGTCATTGCTCCGCAAGCAAACCCACCGCGAAAGGCTGCACCTCCTTCAAAACGTTTGCGTCACTAGGGGGGGAAGCTGCCTTCGCACCCGGCAGAAAAATCGCTCAGTGCGAAAAACCTCGCTTTCAGAAGGGCTCCCCTCTTCTGCAGCGAAAGCAAGCTGTCCGGAGATGAGAAAGAATTGCATGTGGTCTCAAAAGACGAAGGCCGTTCAGCACAACTTTAAGGCCCTTAGAGACGCAGTAGACAGCCGTCTGTCGAAGGCTCTCGGATCGCGTGAGGACTACGTTAAGAGCTGCTGCTCACAACCCAGCAGCCGCTGCAGTCAATGGCTAGAGTAAATGCAGGCAAAGAAACCGAAAGCAGAACACAGATGGTCTCGGGTGCCTGCTTGCCAGAGTCGCCCGCGACATCCTCCCCCGTGTGAGGAGGGCTGTAAAGGCGCTCCTCAAAGACTAAAAGGGGGAGAGCAATGTCTGCATGCGGGGCAAAGAGAGTTTTTGTTTTTCTCGGCAAAGACACCCCAAGTTCTGCTCCTCCCGCGCCATCCCTCTGGAACCATACTTTCGTAGGGAGGCATTAGTTCGCATACCCCCAGATACTCGCAAGTTCGCAGACACACATGCAAACGGCTGCTGTTGGCGTTCGGAGTGACGCCTCTCTTCCCGCGCATAAAGCGCAGCACTTCTTTCGCGAGCCGCGATCCTCCCTGGGAGTAGGAGTAATGTTGCCGTGGCTAGCCGCTTTTTTGCGTTGTGTGAGCCGCGAGGCGGCCTTGCTGCAGCTGCCGTGATGACACTACAGGGGTAGGCTCTACAGGCTTCGTATCCTTCCCTCCCGTCCCCTCACCCTTAGATGCCCTGCTGCTGCAGCTGCTGCCACTAAAGCGCGGACTGCGAAAAGCCTGCCTTTGCAAGAGGTCTTGCTGCTGCCTTCGTGGCGGCTGGCGCTGCGCAGTAGCCGGATCAAATATCGAACCTGCTCCCCATAAATTCCCCTTGATCATCGGCCTGTTTGTGGCAGCCCACACAGCGCATAAGAGAGGAAGGCGCTGCTTTTTTGCGCGCAGAAGAGGACCGCAGAAAAGAGCCGCTACCACGACAGCAGCAGCAGCAAGCCAACGGGAGAACCACCCCCTTTGAAGTAGGCATGCATGTGCCCCTTCATCACCCGTACTCCTCTTCAAGACCCCCTTTTACGTCGATTTGCTAGCCTTTCCTCTAGAGGTCAGGTCAGCACCTGCGCATTTGCGTGGGCATGCGCCTTCTTACCGAAGTGGCGACGGGAGCAGGATCTGCCGTCGCAGCCAGCGGGTAATCTGGGGGCCCCCCACTGTCCACAGGGGCCCTCGGCGCTTCTTCTGCTTTCGCCCCCGCTGTCGAGACAGCCTGCAAAGGGGCTGGTGTCGTTGTCGCGCCGTTGAAGGACCGAGGCACTTTTCGGCCGGTCGGCGTAAACTGCACCTCCCTAAGGTTGCAAATCGGTCCTGACACGATGCAGTTTTGCTTCTCGTAATGCAGCACAAGCAACGGCCACACAGGCAAAGTCTCCAGGAACTGCGAAGCCGCCATTTGCAGCAGCTTGCAGGTGGACGGGGGAGCCGAGGGGCCCTGCCCGGAGGGGGGGGCCCCCCTCTCCCCCTCCGCGTCTTCTGGGCCGCTGGGGGCCCCCCGCAGAGAAGGCGGGAGTGCAGCAGACGATCCTGAAGACGGCGTCCTCTGGATTGACAGAAGACTCGCGTTGCCACAAATAAACACGCAGAAACGAGCGCGTGTCAAAGCCACATTCAGGCGGCGCGGATCCGACAAGAATCCAATGGCTGCATGCATGCACGCGCAGACACACAGACATATATTGCGATATATAAATATACATATATATATATACATATATATATATACATATATAAATATACATATATAAATATATATGTATAAATATATATATATGTATATATGTATACACACATACAGACTCATATACGCACAAAATCGCAGACACACGAACACAAGCAGAATGCAGACCAACAAGGCGGCAGCAGTCTGCAGGAGTGCAGGCAGCAAACGCAGCAGCAAACCACCCGAGTAGCCTGGCCCCAGTCGTCGCTGCACACTTAGCAGCAGCCACAGCCGGAGCTCAAACCCCTGCACGTACAGCTCTGCGTGTTGCTTCTGACACAGGAAAAAATGATGATGTCTTTCTCTCTGCCCTGGAAGGCATCCACTGAACTTATCTCCACTTCTGCTGGCATCGGATTCCGCTGCAGCAGCGTCCGCAAGAAATTCCGCTGCCCGAGATACGGTGTAATTACACCGATTTGTTCAGGACTGCAGCATTTCTCACGCAGAAAGAAGCAGACGACAATGCGCAGCCATGCCAGCGTGAAAAATGCAGACACGAAAAACAGGCAGCCTAGCGAAAGAGAAGGCTTGCAGAGCCAGAACCTCGAGAGCACAAATTGTGGCCGCGTTTTTTGAGGTCCCCCCGAGCAACCAACACGCACGCCATACAGCAACGGCGAAAGCAGCAACAGCAAAAGCAGCAGCAACGAAAGCAGCAGCAACAGCAAAAGCAGCAACAACGAAAGCAGCAACACGCGTAGTGCCAGCCGAGACACACGTGACTCCACTCCTCAGGAGCGCCAGGACCAGCCGCTCAACAACGGACGCCTCCCCACGATTGAGGTAGGAGGTGCCTGTGCTGCTCAGTTCTTCCTTCGCTACACGCCCACACACATCCCACAGTGTCTCCAAAGCCTTGAGAGTGAAAAACGAGCCCACGAAAAAAACCCCAAGTCCGCCTTTGTCGCCACTTCCTCCTCCTCCCCGCCCTTATTCCCCACAAACGTCCACGCTCCTGCGAGACGCCAGCGCGGAAAAACGCGAAAAAATCCAAACACCCCGCAGCTCACTCGTGCAGTGATAAAAGAAGGAAGGGAAGGAGGCGCTTGGCCACTTGAACGGCGGACGGGGTACGAAAGGGAAGATCCTGTCTGCGCTGGAAACGCCATTCTGCAGGGAGCCCATGTAGAAGCACTGCGACGGAAAGTAGGCGATGCTGGGATGCATGCTGCGAAGAAGGCCTCAAAACGCATCAGCGACAGCCGGAGAATTTCTCCCCAAAGCAGCTTGCCACCAGCCACGCACGCGGAGGGCGCCAGCAGCAGGCGAAAAGCTGCTGCACGTGCGTGGCGATCCTTTTGCATTTCTTTGAGAAGTGCACAGCGACGCAAGAGTGCGCGTCACCGGACGCCTTTCAGAGGCCATGGGAAAGCGGGGAGCGGCTGCTGCTGCGAACAGGTGCTTTCTGAAGAAAGAGACACGCGACGCAGCTGCTGAAGCGTCGCGGTGAGAAAGGCAACGGCAAGGCTTCAAAATGCGACGAACCGGTACTGAACGGAGAGGCGAAAGGAGGGCTGGTTCAGCAGGAGCATCCTGACAAAGAGCGACACGCCGAGTCCACTGGCGGCTGCGCGCTTCGAGACAACGACAGGCCCCATCTGCATCTGATCGCCAATCAGCACGACCTGCGAACCCAAGGCAACGATTCATAAGGACGCTTAAGCTGGCAGTACAGCAAGAGAAAGAGAGAGAGAAAGAGAGGCAATTTTTACATTCAAGGGTACACATGCAAGCAGGAAGGCGCTTGGCAGACTGTCTAGGTTTCCCCGTGAGCGGTCTGCGGAAGCAAGACGCACGGAAGGGAGAGACACACAGAGAGAGAGAGAGAAGAGTGGAAGAAGAGGGAGAGAAAAGGCATGCAAAGAGGCGAAGAAGCACTCGTGGCAAGGCACGAACAGCCAGGCCGCCTTCAAGGTGCCGAGGGGCTGCACAGAGGGGCGAGTGAGAGGCGGCTAAGAAATAGATACACAGAAAGATAGATAGAGAAAAAGATAGAGAGACAGAGAAAGAGTTGATGTTCGAGGAAGAAGGCGAGCGCGTTTTGGGGGTCATGAAGCCGAGGGGGAAGAGAAAAAACAGAGGGGTGTAGAGCCGGGGGTACCAATAGAGGCGGCTCAACTCAGAGGCAAGACGGGTAGGGATGTAGTCTCGAACACAAGTGGGTTAAACCATTTCAATCCACACACACATGGTTCGCTCCCTGCGTAAGAGGAATGAGCGTCTCGGGTTCTGTTGCCTGTGTGCACTCGTCTATGAGAACTGTGCGGAAGTCGAAATGCGCCAAACGCCTATCTCCTGCGTGCCAACACACTCACGTATGCATGAAGGCCACCCGTAAGGAGTTGCCCCAATGCATGCAGATAGGCGAAATTGGGAAGCAGTGTGCAGGAAAACTGGCTAAAGGCACGCAGAGAGAGAGAGAGAGAGAGAGAGAGAGAGAGAGAGAGAGAGAGAGAGAGAGAGAGCGAGAGAGAGAGAGAGAGAGAGAGAGAGAGAGAGAGAGAGAGAGAGAGAGAGAGAGAGAGAGAGAGAGAGAGAGAGAGAGAGAGAGGGAGAGAGAGCGAGAGAGAGAGAGAAAGAGAGAGAGGCGTAGAGAGGGAGAGAAAAAAACAGAAAGGGAGAGAGAGAGAGAGCGAAAGAGAAAGAGAGTGAGAGAGAGAGAGAGAGAGAGAGTCAGAAAGAGAAAGGGAGAGAGAGTAGCAGAAAGAGACAGAACGGGATAGAGAGCGAGAGACAAGCCGAAAGAGTAAACGAGATACAGGGACAGCAAGGGATAGGGGGAGAGAGAGGAGGGGAGGAGAGCAACGAAGGCGGGGCACGAGGGGGGGGAGGGGGACGCGGGGGAGGGGAG